GATTGTCAATGTCATTGGACGGGTCTGGGTACACGATGTGGTTAACAACAGACCAGGCGCATCCTAGGCTTCGCAGATATGCGTCAGCCTGCACCAACTCTGTTCTGAAACTCCCGTAGCAAGCTAACTCTCGGCCCATGCCCTGCCACTGTGCTCCTTGTCCGCTGAAGACAAAGCCGATTCGTGGTGGCGACTTTGCCTGCGCAGAAACCGGTGTTGACATGAGCGAGGAGATGTTTTCGAAATCTTCAATCGTGTTCATCAAAGCAAATGACCTCCATTGTAGATGACTTCGATGTGTATCTAATGTGTAGGCAAGGTTGGCCATCAGATTTGTAATATCATTCGTAGCATCGATAGACTCTTTCCCACCCTGCTGCCGTAGTTGCTGGTATTTCTGTAACAGTTGCTTGATAGGAGAATATCCAGTACTGTACTGCTTAATGATTCTGCCAATACCGTCCTTGTCTGATGCAGACCACACAAAGAGTCTTTGTACGTTTTCTTGTCGTGGCGGCGTCAGTGCAGGACTCAATGGCATCTTGTCGGACTGTTCCCGAAGTTGAGGTGGGCGCTTCGCCGTATTATGTTTGCCGTTGAGGCCACGAATCCGAAGATAATTATAGGCGTCGTCAATAACGACATGCGCATTGGCACCTCCGTATCCAAACGAATTGACAGAGGCTCTGCGGAGACCATTTGCTGGCCAAGGACGTGCCTTTTGTGGAAACTGAGAGAAAAGGACTTACGTGAGCCAGCAGTACATTTGCAAAGATGGCAACTTCTAGAGCAAGACTTACGGAAATATTCAGAAACTCAACGTCAATTTTGGGATTGACTTTCTGAAAGTTGGCATTGGGAGGGATAATCCCCTTTTCCAAGACGAGAACAGCCTTGATCAAGCCAGCCAGTCCACTGGCGCCTTCCAAATGACCAACATTCGACTTGATGGCACCGCTAGATAATTTGTCAGTCAACGATGTTACAGAGGATGTAGTGATGGGCAGAGGTGCTTACACATAAATAGGGTCGTCGTTGGAGCGATGCCGCATGAAAGCCATGCCAATTGCTTGAGCCTCGCGAGGGTCTCCAGCAGGCGTTCCAGTTCCATGAGCCTCGAAGAATCTTGTGTGCTCCATTGAAAGACGAGCCTGCTCATATGTTCTCTTGATGAGCTCTTCTTGAGCCTTGCGGTTTGGTTGTGTAATGCCAGGAGTGCGACCGTCTTCATTGCAAGCTGTCGCGCGGATGACAGCGCGGATCGTGTTACCGTCTCTAACAGCATCTGATACTCGCTTGAGAACAGTGACAGCGAGACCCTCGCCTCTAGCATATCCATTTGCTCTCTCATCGAAGGAATAGCAGCAGCTGTCTGGTGACAAGAACTTGACATTGGACATCCAAACGTAGGGCTCAGGCGCACTCGCCATATTGGAGCCAGCAACCAATGCCTGCGGCCAATTAGTCATGATTTCATGGAACGATGAGGCATGAAGTCTTAGACGCACCATGGAGCAATTGCCGTTTCTCAGTGCGGCGCAGGCTGTGTCCAAGGCCATGGCGGAACTAGAACATGCAGAATCGACGGCCATGCTAGGCCCGCGAAAGTTGAAGAACCAGCTGATTCTATTGGCAAGCATGCTGAGACCAAATCCTAGTGCTGCATAGGGAGGAGGAACCTCGGCGCTGCGAACAAGTTGCAACATGTAGTCCATTCCAAAAGAGCCGCAGTAAACGGCTGTCGGCGAGCCGTTGACATGTTCCATCGGGATACCAGCTGTGAATGTATACGTAAGCGGTCTCATCGTTGCACTGGTGGGATCTGAGGCTTTCTTACCATTTTCCAGCGCGTGGTAGGAGGCTTCTAGTAACAGTCTTTGCATGGGATCCATAGACGCTGCCTCAGTAGGCGCAATCGAGAAGAAGCCGGCATCGAATTCGGCAAGATCGCCTTTGATAAAATGACCGCCTTTTAGGGGCATCTACAACAGTTAGTGCCACTGTGCAAATGCGCATTGTTAGGATTCGAGTCAGGGTAAAACTTTACAGTGTTTGGCCGCGATCGTTGATCGTAGAAACCATCGACATTGACACGATCAGCTGGAAACTCGGTCATTGCACAGCGTCGTTGCAGCATCATATCCCATAGGGCTTCTGGAGTAGTTGCATCTTGTGGAAACTTCAACGAGAAGCCACAAATAGCGATGTCATTGCTGTCAATGCCGTCCAGCTCCGGCAAGGTAGTAGTAGGGTCCTCCATTTTGCCCAACGATTATGAAATATTACGAGCGCGGCGGCTCTGAAAATATATGTACAGAAGAAGAAAGAAAATAGCAATGGAAATATGAATCGCCTCAGTCGGCGATATCCCGCGGTTGTACCCCAAGTCTGTAGCCCGCAGGCAGGGCACAACTAATATACGCCAGGTGCCAAACGAAAGCGGTGGATAGTGACCGCATGGGCTAAAGTAGAAGGTTGGCAGCAAGGTGAAATGGAAGAGGCGCGGAGATTGACAAAGGTAATACAGATAGTGCAAAAGCTCATTAACATAACATCTGTGCAAGTAGCTAAATACATTGGGAGCCTCCATAATACGTCGTTGGCTGTCAGCCCAAGGCGTCCATGTCAGGACGAGGCGCGGCCAATCGCACGTCGCATCATATGAACGGCCTCGGTCAGCTTGGATTGTCGAGGAAACTCGTGACCACCTTCATGAACGGACACAAAGGTTTGCGACGGATCGCATAAGCTAGCCATATTAGCCCCACCGGTCGGAGCAATCAAATCATTCTGGCCCCAGATATGCGCAGTGGGCAGTTTAAGACACCCTGGGGTGGGAGCAAGGCTGAGCTGAGCGAGTTCGGCGCCGCTGGAGGCAGTGGAAAAGAAGACGGCAAAGCGGAACGGCAGCGGTTTCCCTTGTTGCCAAAGCTGTAAGAGGTACAGACCAACCAGAACGGCCCCCGCCGAGAATGCCACCACACCGTCGAAGGGCCCCTGGTCGTCGACGTAGCTGCTTAACTGGTCCAGGGCCACAAGGAGCGTGGCGGGGTCATCTGGATTGTAGAATGCGTAGAAAGCTTGATCGGCAGGCGTTGCCAGGCTTTCTATTCCTGTATAGCAGTTAGCGAAGCAGTTAATATCTCTTTTTCATTATGAGCCGTACCTTCAGCCATGGGAGCCTGCAGAGTGCCTTCGACAAACTCAAATTCATGGTCATCTTCTAGCTCGTGGATGAGTGGGGCTGTGGTGGGTGCTAGTTTAGCGTACTGGAATTGCCCAGAAGAACGGGGGGTCGAGAGTCAACCTTACCGGTCTGCAGCTTCATTATCTGTGACGCAACGTAGTGTTAGACCGGATCTGTTTCTGCTTATTCGTAAAGGGCTAGGCCTGCGGAACGCAAGTTGGCCCGCCCACAATCCAGAGGAACAATAAAGAACTAACTTACAGCACTGTTGGTGCCATTACCATGAAGGCAAATGATCCGCATTGCGCGGGTTTCGGTGATGCAAGTGGACGTAAGTTAGTCTTGAGAGTTGGGAGACCGACGCCACGCTTTAGTGCCAAGTGTCACTTGGAAAGGCAATTATTGTGCAGCAAGGTATAGCATTTTATAAACGATCATACGCAACATATATTGCGGTTTAGCTCGGTGCTTTTATCAACACATCCACTCTGCACGCTAACGTATTTCACGAGTGAGTGTGACACTTCCGTTAGCGCGCCTTATATGTAACTGAAAATTCAAGTATATGAATGAGACCTATAAATCGGAAGATATATGTTCTCTAGATTTAATAGCACCTATAGTGAGACTATACGTACAATCCTCATTACGATATTTTTATTACATTCAGAGATATACTAGAGTTAGATGTCCTGATCTACTTAATAAGTCGTCCTTCTATAGGAATGTAATTTTCTGATTGATACAGGCTCTTATACTTAGCCAGCGGGCAGGACTTGGTAAAAGGTGTCAGACTCGCTTGTGAAACTAGTAGTTACGTTAAGTTGCCTTAGGCTGATATAACTAGTTAACAAGTAGTTAGTTAACTACGTGCCGCGTCGTTGAAACATCAGGTAGTAGAACGTTCTCCGGGCCAAGAAGTCCTTACACATCAATATAAACTTAATTATCTTCCTAGACAAGCTAGCAGGGATATTGATCCTAGCGTTTCAGGCGGCACGTACTAACAAAACACCACGGGGAACCGTAGTATTATTAGTACAGTAATACATCGCTATCATGGGCGGATCAACAAGGCTGGCCAGCGGCATGATTGGCCCCGTGCGTCCGTGTCTTTGCTGATCCTTTTGGGGGCCGGACCGTAAGCCTGCAGACAAACACAGCCTTTCAGGGTATCCCGCCCCCTCCTTGTCATCAGAATGTTGCTGTGTTCATTCACCAGCAATGCAGGAATGCAACTAGCCTCCGCTCACTCTTACCCTACGAAAATTAGTAGCGTCTCCAAGGCTCTTTTTTGAGGGGAACAACCATGACCACCTGCCCGCCGCTGGCGGGTTGTCTGCCTCTCAACCCCACCTATCTCAATGAGGGCAAATCTCACATTGAACCGCTGCCTAAGGGTTGAAGGTCATAGGTGGCCAACACCCCAAATTTGACTCACTATTAAGCGAATATTGGTCGCCTAAAGTACCTCGTTACGGTTTCTACCTGTACTGTCTACACATGTCGCAACAACCCGCTATCTTACCGCGCTCTGCGGCGCACGATAACAGTCCCGGAAGTATCAGGGGTTTCTTCATTTTCATCACTATCATTACTATCCTCTCTATTTCGCTTCGTTTCTGGTCACGATGCATCCGCAGCAACGCAGGACTCGGTGCTGGGAGACATACTCAGCGTCTGTGGTGGGATGATTGGGCCGCTTTAGCAGCCGTGGTAAGTGACTTTGTGATGGATCTTCCAAAAGCCCAAAAGCCCAAAGGGGTGAGATGAAGAAGAAGAGCTAAACAATAAATACTACGAGCTATGCAAAATGCTAACTTCATTTCCATGGCAGCCCTGGATCCTCGGCCTCTGCGGAGTGGCATTTGCTATGGGCTTCTATGGCCTCGGCCACCACGCTCAGTTTGTCGATTCAAAGGATCTAGCCATCTTCCTTAGACTGTTGTATGCAGTATACTACGTCTACGATATCGGCCTCTTTTTCACCAAGCTCTCTGCCATTCTGTTTCTCTCGCGCATCTTTCCCTGGCACGCAAACTCCAAGTGGTTCAACTACACCATTGTGGCTACCCACTGCCTCAACTGTGCATGGTTGGTCGGAATCATTTTTGGTACCACATTTATGTGCAATCCCGTGCAGAAGGGCTGGAATCCCACATTACCTGGGCACTGCGGTACCACCAGCGCCCTTTGGCTTGGAAGCGCAATACCCAGCGTCATCATTGACCTCATCATCCTGCTGCTGCCCGTGCCAAAGATCTGGTCCCTGCAAATGACCACCACGCGCAAACTGGGCATCATTGGAGTCTTCGTTATTGGTTACAGGTAAAGTGTTGGACTGTGGCAATAATTATCGCGTCATGACACTAACTAAGAACAAACAAACAGTGTCATTGTCGTTTCCCTTGGCCGACTCACTACAGTTCTGCTGACTGGTAGTTCCTTGAACTCGGATATTACCTGTACGTCAGAAGTCTCCGATACCCAATACTCCTGTCCTGTACCTAATATGTTCATTCTTTATAGACACGGTTGTTCATCTGGCCTACTGGGTTGGTGCCGAGGCGCCCATCACTATGCTGTGTATTTGCCTGCCGCCCATGACTACTCTGGGCCGGTATCTAGCCAACAACTACTTTTCCAAGATATCCAGCAGAGTTCAGTCTCTGTTTAGCACCATTAAGGGCAGCAGAGGCACTGTGGCATCACGGAGTTACTCCGCACCGGATTCGCAATCCCAAAGTATTGCGATGCACAGGAGCTCCATGAAAAAGAGCGTTGACAATGACGGCCACAGCCTAGAGTCACAGGAGAGCTCTGCGCATTTATTCCCCCACGAAGACGCCAATTACTATGCTGGCGCTAGAGCCAATGTTTCTTACCCTCGCTCGGGTACTCATGGTACAAGCCCGCTTCCGAACTCTGGCGACACTGGCATTCGTGTAGACAGCATCGTGACTGTCACGCAACGTGTGAGGAAATAATTGACTTTGGAGACTGTACTCGTTGTCCTTATGTAAATGTATAATATTTTCGTTACCTTCTCATTTCTTCCTCCGTATGACCGTAATCGCATTGATCTCTTGATGGCTTAGGAGTTTATATATAATGGTGTCAAAATCTTGTTATACCACTGCGCCCAGCTTGAACCTGCCTTGCACTGTATGCTAAGTTACATTGAAGTCCTCTCATGGATTCTACATCTTAAGGATGTTTATCAGATAATAATGTCTTCAAATACCGTCTTCATTCAATTAAACTACCATTACTATTCGTCCTTGCTGATCCATCGCTTGGTGTCGCCATTGATCTGATCTAGCAGCGAAACCCATCTATAACCAGCAACCGTGTGTGCAATGCCAACAAGTTCAGACTTTCCCATAACTGACACAGCTTCTTTCCACGTAGCGTCATCGAGTGGCGTCTTAAGGTCGGTTAAAATGCGACCGAGGCGATACGCCATGGCCTCTTCGGCGGACAGATCCGCGGGGACTTTTCCGGCCAAGGCGTCCTCAAACTGCTCATGAGAAAGGCCGCATTTCGAGCCGATCTTGCGATGACAGTAGTCGACATAGGGCACATCCAGCACCGAGGAGAGGCCAAGGATAGCCAGCTCTCTATTGCGAGGCTTGACGGTTCCGGGCGCATACAGTGTCTTTGCCATTTCGAAGAATTGGCCGACGAAGGCCGGATTGTAGCTGTATTGAACGGTTAGCTTCGGTGAATTTTAATTTAAGGAATGTGTGTATTAGTTTGCTCAGCGCCAGCCCAGGCAACTTGGCAAATAGGGCTTAGCGAGCGCGAGCTCTCGTGCCGCAATGATTTCCTATCAGTGGAAAGCAGGCTGCCATACCTCAGCGATGCGTAACATCCAAGTAAAGAGCTGCCGTCTTCTTCAACCCACTGGAAAGGGATGTCATTTTGATGCATCACTGTCAACGCATCCTGGATGGTTTGTTTGGAAGCAGCGTGCTCCTTCTCGTCGTAGGGAAAGCGATGGGTCATGGTGAATGCGCGGTGATCCTGTCTCTGTCTCTTTGGTTTGTGATGTATAAAGGTCAACTGTACCAAGGAAAAAGACGGATGTCTATACACTGCGCAAGGCTTACACCTGTTGGTTTCGCAAAGCCTACCTCGGCTGACTGACTAGATGTGCTGCGGAATGTGTACTGCTGCCTGGCTAACTGCTACTCTGTTTCTTGGGGGACAAATGCACCGGTAGCGGTTAGTTTGGGGGCGAGAATAGATGAGTATGATCATTCTTTGCGATATACCTAGCCAAGGATCTCAGAGGCTCTGAGGTGATCTTGGGGCGCCTAATCCCTCGATTGCACGCTGTCAACCTTGTAACGAACTACATTAGTCTCCTTCCTGTTCAGGTAAAGATGTTCACATCTCCACCGGTTTTGTATGTGAAAAATAACATCAGAATTCCTTAACCAACTTGCTATATTAGACCTCTAGTAGGTATATACTCTACTACCAGTGAGACAGAGACACACGCAACCATCTAATTATTTGAAATAACAGCTTTTCGTCTTGCCTTTGACTGCATAAATAATGTGTAAATTCAATTCCCTTAAAAAGATGGGAAAGCATATGATAATAGTAGGATTATATAGAGAATAATATTTTCATGCTTCTAATAGTCCATCGCCCTGATCTTTACATATTGAATAGGCACGCGAGACACGCTGACATAGCAGGTAGAAGAGACAGATAGGAGGCTAATCTAAAAAGTTATCTAAATCTTTACTATACAAAACAAGCGGGGTGGTATATTACCGCTATTTTAGCGTCTGGGCTCAATCTAGCATTTCCCACGGTTGACAGGGTGCAATCGAGGGGTTGGATCAGGCGGATCTTGGGGGGCGGACCCTGACCCGTGACGGGCCAATTGGCCGAGAGTGTAAAAGTACCCGTGGAGTTGTAGTGATTGTCAACTGTCAAAAGAAAAACCAAAGAACCAAAAAGCAAAATAAAGCAATATAGTAGGAGTACGGAATATTTCAAACCGGAGGATCAATTAACTCATGGCATCTCTTGAATAGATACAATACTTCTATCTTACTATACTTTCGCCTTGTCTGTGCTCGAGATCAGTATCAATCACTTCCACCTATCTAATATTAAGACTGACTCAATTCTTATCATCAGCTCATTTACAAAGTACGTATTCATGCATCCACCCTTGCATGCCCGCAGGCAATCAATTTTAAGCGAGCCCGCTGAGGGGAGTGAGAGGCTCGGCATATCAATCCGTCCACAGTCCAAACATGATGACTCCGGCAAACCTCCGAGAAGTCTGCAGGGGTCGAGAGGCTGGCATGATTGGTGGGGGGCCTTAACAGTGTATGAGAAGCTGAAATCACCCCTCACCAGCCATATGCCTACGGTGTATGTCGGACACCTGATGACTCTCAGTAGAACTAGTATACCGACCGTAATCCCCCAGCAGGCTGACGTGGCACGGGCCGCACGAGGGGCCAACCACTGATTTCGGCGAGCGGTTTGCGAAGCCGTAATACCATACTTACCTCTTTCCTACTCTGCCCCGTGGAGAATATCACTTCCCTTTTCGATATACTACTATCAGCGCGGTAAGTACTAGTCTATGTGGAGTATAAGCCGAAAGGTCTAATATAGCGTTATACTAAGTTACCTAATACTCACTAGCTGGACGAGCCAGCCATCGTCGGGTAGTTTACTACTCCACTTGAAGCTGGCTGTGCTCTAGGCATGAATCGAAGAGTTGACGCTATTAGACAATGCGTTAATATCATTTCACATGCAGTGGGGTCTGTACAAAAACAATTTGGGTCTGCCTGCAGTCATGTCAGCCCGGAGCCTCGTTGTTGCAAGGCAGATTTAGCAAGCTATCCGTTCATCAGCTGCTCAAACTTGCGCCGCATTCTCAGTAACTCGCCAAGCTCCCTGCAAGCTCAGAATCAGCTCTGAACACTGTCTCCCCAAGTATACCCTGCATATTAGTAGAACACCATCCATGTAAATTGACACTAGGAATAATCTCATGTCAGTAACGAGGATTAATAACCTATCATAGATTTCACCACAAAATGACATCGTCACAACCGCCTTTGAACATTGTTGTAGTAAGCTTTACCTACGCTTCCAGTTACACGGAACCAAGGCATCGTTGACAACTCATGTTTCGCAGATCGGAGGCTCTCTGGCGGGACTAATGACCGCCGTGGCACTGAAGCGAAACGGGCATAATGTGACAGTCATTGAAAAGGAAGACAATGAACGCGAAAGCCACATGGCTGGCGTTTGTCTAGGACTCGATGCTGTGGAATTCCTCGAGAAATACGATCGCGTTCAGAGCATCTTCTCTCACCAGTCGCGTCGTATTCAGGCCCTTGTGGGCGACGACAAGCTGAAGACCTTTGTCAATGGCCGTCGAGAAATCACAAACTGGGATACCATGTACTACCGGCTTCGTTGTAACTTTGGTGGCTATGCAAGCGATACCTACCCTACATCCCCTTTGCCCTCTCCAGAAGATGGCCAGGGTGTGTATCTTGCTCAAACGGAGGTTCTCGATATTCAACGTGAAATACAACCTGACGACGACGATGACAGCGACGAGAAGAAGACGACAATGAGCCTCACGTTGCTGGACCGCAAATCAGGAGACAAGGCCACTATGCAGGCCGACCTGGTGATTGGTGCAGACGGCCCGGATTCTTTTGTGCGGAAGAAGTACCAAGGCCACGTTGAGCGGAAATACGTTGGCTACATTGCTTGGAGGGGCACTGTCCCGGAGAGTGAGGTGTCGGAAGAAACCCGTCACCTCTTCAGACGCAGCGTCACTGTGTATATGATGGACAAACAGCACTGCATCGTGTACACCATCCCCGGCAAGAACGGATCGCTGGAGCCCGGCGAAAGGTATCTCAACTTCCTCTGGTACACAAACGAGACGAAGGAATCCTTGGACGAAATCTTAAAGGACGGCCTCGACGGCCATCGCCATCACAACATTGTCCCGTCCGGTCGTGTGCGACAAGATATCTGGGCTGAACGAACAAGGCAAGCCAAGGCCCTGCCACTCAGCAAGCCAATGCTGGAGATCTTTCTGAAGATCCAGCGTCCTTTTATTCAGGTCATTACCGACTTCTGCTCACATCAGGCAGCCTTTGAAGATGGCAAGGTCCTGCTGGTTGGCGACGGACTGTCGCTGTTCCGTCCGCACACAGCCTTCAGCGGCACCCAGGCGGCGTTTCATGCCCTCCGCACGGCTGAGTTCGTCAATGGCAAGACAACCCTGCAACAGTGGGAGAGCAAGGTCCTTAGGTACTCGCGGCTGCACTACCTGCAGAGCAACTGGTATGGAGACTTTTATCAATACCCCATGTCGTCGGCCCTCGTGGCTGCTGTGCGCTACTGGATTATGTGCGGCGTTGATCGCGTCTTGTCCTGGTACAACGGCGAAGCTCCGCTCTTGCGCACAAGCACATTCAAGAGTGAAGCGTACGACGACGAATAAATTAGGCCGAGGAATAGCCTCATTCTATTAGGGAGGTGTCGTTCCACCCCATACTGGACGTCTACAGTAACTAGGAGGTCAAGTAGGTGGGATGAGTATCTCAACGGAAATTGTGAAGTTGACACAGGCATCGGTTACTAGGAAAATGGACATTGACATAATAGCCAATAACCTCATGTTTAGTTAGCTTTGTATATAACCATATATTAATCAGCAATACTTTCTACAATTCAAGTTTCGGACCTGTATAAATGATTTGGATTTTTGACATTTATATTTCCCTTTTTGCCATTTATTTTTATCATTCTAATTATCTTTCTCTCTGTTATTGACCTGTTGACCTGTTGACATGTTCAATCTCTCTTACATCATCTGATCTGAAGCAAGCAGGGAGTTATGCACAGTGTTGGACCACGCGGTGCGAGTGAGCCGCTCAGGCTGTTTGAACCTTGCAGTCGCGCAATGATGCCCGATTTTGGCGAGGTGTCTCGTTACCTCCAGGCAAGCGGCTGTAATTAAACCGAGCCACTACTACCCATGCTAGCGTCTTTATTGGGAATGTGGTCCTTTGTCTTGTCTGGGTCCTTCCTGTAAGCACTAACCGTAACGCTGGCGGTTGAGGAGGGGGCGCGGCAAGGCTGGGGCCAGAACAACCGGGTGTGCTCAGTGCTCAGTGACTACAATTGGGGCTGCGGGCGCACCCGACTAGTGCAAGGGGGTGGGGCACATCAAGGCTGTGATCAAGAGCGCCATCCAGTCGTTAATTAACCTGTGGCTGTCCATTCTTTGTATGTTGTGATCGGCGGTGACACAGGAAAACTCCTTGATTCCCCGTGCCTGTCAGCGGACCGATGTGGCACAACAAGGCTATGTTGATGATAAAAAGCGCTATCCACTGACTCGCTAGGCAGTTACTGTCCATTACTCTATGTTGTGATCTACATTTACCCGGGAGAAACTTTTTGGATTCCCCGTGCAAGCCTGTCAGCACGGCTGGTCAAATCCAGCCCACTCTTCCTTCCAGGCTTAAATCCTTCCGATGCGACTACAGACGGATCAGTTGGCCAGGAACGTACCTGCATCATGCCGCCGACACAGACAACTGCTTCGTCTACAAGCGACAATGTTGAAAAGTCTCTACAGGATGCCACCGTCAGTGACCCGTCGGGGTCTGCTGATGCTGTGACCGGGCGCAAGATCACGGGTGTTGCGTGGTTTGTTGTCAACGTTGCCCTGTTATCGGCGACTTTTCTGTATGCCCTCGACAATACCGTGACAGCAACGGTGCGGCCTGCCATTGTCGACACATTTGGCAACCGCATAGACATGCTACCATGGGTTTCAGTGGCATATCCCATGGGTGAAGTTGGCACAAATCCCATCTGGTAAGATAATCAAGCAGCAGAGCGCACTTGGCGAATCGACTACTAACATTTCTGTTTACAGGGCAAAGCTCAACAAGTTCCTCAATGGCAAATTTGTCTTTCTCGCCGCCCTGCTTATCTTCGAGGTAGGATCTGCGGTTATTGGCTCAGCGTCGTCCATTGGCGCTGTCATCGCGGGTCGCGCTCTGGCTGGCTCCGGCGGCTCCGGCATCTATGTCGGCACCATTAGCATGATTACTGGAATGACGACAGCCAAAGAACAAAACCAGTATCTCAACATTGTCGGAATGGCATGGAGCCTGGGAACCATTCTCGGCCCCATTATCGGATCTGCGTTTGCTGATTCGCCTGCAACATGGCGATGGGCTTTTTACATCAACATCTGCATTGCCGCCGTTGCCGCCCCCGCATGTATCTGGATCATGCCTTCGGCGCCCCCTAGCGTGTCTCTGGGGATCATGGACGTGATCAAGGCATTTGACCATCTGGGTGCTGTGCTGTTTCTTGGCTCGGTCGTGTCGACAGTCATGCTGCTGGGCTTTGGCGGCGTCGTGTACAGCTGGGATAGTGGCCAGATGATTGGACTTTACATTGCCACTGCTGTGCTATGGATCATGTTTGCTCTGCAGCAGAAATTCCACCTTCTCACGTCAGATCGTATCTTCCCCGTGCAGTTCTTCAAGGATCCCTTGGTGGTCGGCCTGTGGATCTGGACGATTGTCGCAATTTCTGACATTGTCGTGACCATCTACACGCTGCCGCTGTTTTTCCAGTTTGTGCTGCATGATTCTTCGATGCGCTCTGCAGTCTACACGCTGCCTTTTGTGGCATCCGTTGTGGTCAGTGCCGGCATCAGCGGGGGCCTTCTGGTCAAGTTTCCGTGGTACAAATGCTGGTTCATCTGGGCCAGTGTGCTGCTCCTTATCAGCAACGGCCTGCTGTCCAGCATCCACACGCACACATCTAGGGCTACCATTTGTGGCTATACCATTATCCAGGGCTTCGGCGTCGGACCGGTCATTCAGCTTGGCTATACTGTGGGCCAGTTGAAGCGTCCACAGGCGGCACGAAAGGATGTTACCGCGTTCTTCTCTTGTGCACAGATGGGTGGTCTAGCCTTGTCACTGGGCATCGCCACCTCTGTTCTTGTTAACCATGCCACGGAGGAGATATCGCACATTCTACCAAACGTTCCTCTTAGCGAAATCAGAGGCGCCATTGATGGAGTGGGAAGTAACGTGTTCGCGACGTTGACCGAACAAGTTCGTGATCAGGTCACCAACGCAGTTACGCAGAGCGTGGCCTCTGTGTTTTACCTGAATTTGTTTGGTGCAGGGCTTGGCTTCCTCATTGCCCTTCCTCTCAAATTCGACAAGCTGGATTTCACCGCGCTGCAATAACACACTTCCTCGTCTGCTCCAAGCTGACTTGGATCTACGTCATACTTTAGTGTTAGCATGATAGAACTGTAATCTTCTCAGTCCATAATAATTGTCATAAGTCTTTGTATGTATCCTAGAAAAGCATTACAGAAAGTGCATCGTAGCAAGATGCGAGTTATAGTAAGATTTGGAGTAGCAAATGGCACGCAAGCGAGGTAGCATCCATCCCCCAAAATAGCGCACGGCAAGCTAGGGACCATCTCATCCGGCGTAACGCAATGTTACCCAGAATGAACCTAGTCATTAGCTGGGGGCGATGTATAGCCCGCCCCGCAAACCTCGCGGCCATACCTGAGACACTCGCCTGTTGCTGACCGCAGGTGGTGGGTAACAAGCCGGGCAGCCTTGTCCACCAAAATGAAGTGGTGGGCACTAAGAGGCTTACAGGGATCCACGCGTCACAGCCATCCCGCGGGGTTGATGCCAGCCGGGCGACCGGCCTGAAGCTATTAAGCCTAGCGTGATCCCATCCACTGCGCGCAATTCAATCCCATCACCATCCCCCGCACCATCACATCCAACATTCCAACAACATGGGCATTTACACTCGGCTCCCCGAAGGCATCGACGAGGTCGACATCATCATCGCCGGCGGTTTGTTCATCCACCTCTCCCCCTCTTCATAAGTTTATCCTAACGAGCTCTTTTCCTCTCTTGTTAGGCGGTACCGCGGGGTGCGTCGTTGCGTCCAGGCTCGCCGATGCCGACCCCTCGCTGTCCATCCTCGTAGTAGAGGGCGGACAGAACAATAAGGGCAACCACATGATTGCCTTCCCGCTCCTTTTCCCAACTGCACTACTTCCCACCAGTACCGCAACCCTGTTTTACAAGGGAAATGCGGAGCCCCAGTTGGACAACCGCGAAATGATCGTCCCAACCGGTGGTGTTCTGGGCGGCGGTTCGTCAATTAACTTGATGATGTACAGTCGTGCTCAACGCCACGATTGGGATTCGTGGGCCACTCCGGGATGGTCCACGGATGAAATGATTCCTTACTTGAAGAAGGTAGGTGATTGGATTTGCGAGTATGTACTACAGTGTTGACTAACCCGCCATGACCTTGTTGTAGCTTGAGACATATCAAGGCCCTGGCCCGGATTCTGTTCATGGAAAAGATGGCCCTATTGTTGTGTCTAAGGGAACATTCTACTCTGAGCGTGCGGCAGATCAATTCATTGCTGCCGCCAACGAGGTAGGGTACCCGACCGTCAACGATCTTCAAGACCTCGACACTAGCAACGGCGTTCAACGTGCCCTCCGCTTTGTCGACTCAAAGGGCCGCCGCCAGGATGCTGCCAGTAACTACTTGCATCCGAAGCTGGAAGATGGAGCACATCCGAACCTCCACGTCCTCGTTGAGACCAAGGTTATCAAGATCCTTTTCGAGGGCAAACGAGCGGTGGGTGTTGAGTTCAAGCCAAACCCTGCCTTCCAAAAGGAAGACAACAAGGTTCAACGCGTCAAGGCCAGGAAGCTCGTAATTGGTTCCTGTGGCGCTCTCGGAACCCCATTGCTCCTCGAGAGGTCCGGTCTCGGCGACGAAGCCATTCTCAACAAGGTGGGCGTTCCTGTTGTCGCCCATCTCCCTGGAATCGGCCGGAACTACCAGGATCATCATCTCTTGATTCAAACATACCACAGTGCCTTGGAGCCAAACGAGACGTTTGACGCCCCCCTGGCCGGTAGAATTAACATGGAAGAATTAATCAAGTCAAATGCACCAATTATGGGGTGGAATGGCCAAGATGCCTCCTGCAAGCTGCGTCCCACTGAGGCCGATGTCACTGCCCTGGGACCTGAATTCGAGGCGGCATACGCAAGAGACTACCTCCACACTCCCAACAAGCCCCTGGCGCTAATGGCTTTACTGGGCGGGTTCCCTGGTGACCCATCCACCGTTGAGCCAGGACAATACCTCGCGACCTCTTTGTTCACCGTCTACCCCTACGCCAGAGGCCATGTCCACATCACAAGCCCCGACCCCGACGCGGATATCGCCTTTGAAACTGGATTCTTGAAAAGTGACTTGGATGTCACAAAACTCATCTGGGCGTACAAGAAGCAGCGAGAAATCGTCCGCAGAATGGATGTATACCGCGGAGAGTTTGTTGGCGCCCATCCACCGTTTGCCGAGGATTCGGCCGCGGCTCTTGTCAGGCTGGACAAGCCGAATGACAAGAACATTTCGGACATCCAATACACTGCAGAGGACGACAAGGTCATTGAGGGCTGGGTGCGCAAGAATGTCGGCACTACCTGGCATTCACTCGGTACTTGCAAGATGGGCGCGCAGGCTGATGGTGGCGTGGTTGATGCAGACCTCAATGTTCATGGGATTGAAGGCCTGAAGCTCGTAGATCTGAGCATCGTACCTCAAAACATTGGCGCAAACGCAGCCACCACTGCTTATGCAATTGGTGAGAAGGCAGCTACTATTATTATGAAAGACCTTGGGCTTCCTGTCAGCCAGTGAGCCGCCGCTCACTTTACTAGTGTAATGGTCGGATGTGTGCACAGCTGACATATTCTGTTTTGAATTATTGACGTAGCCGATTATATGTATTCATCTTTTTTTTTCTTCTTTAAAGAAATGTGCTATCTTACCACGATATTGTGGTGGGGTTATGTCTGTATGTAAGCTTGACAATCTACCTAATCTGCTATAGACTCTGTTCAGTGAGTTTGTAGATATGGACCTGTGCGCAGAGTGTTCTGCCCGCGGTAGTACTTTCCTCGCACAATTTTCTCTCTCAATAGAAAGTTTTGAGTTTGAAAGTCGAACAAGTAGGCAACGGCTGCAAGCTACACCACATTCACCTCTGATACGCCCTCCGATTAGCATTAATCAACGCAATACCCTCCTTACGCCAAGTATCCGGCGCCGCATACGAAGTGACATTCGCATCCCAGATCATACTCAAGGGATTCTCCAGATCATACACGGGCCAATTCTCCGTCTTCGTAGCGTTCCTTCCGCGACCAGTCCACTTATTAGGATCCAGACTATTAGTGAAGCTGATCCACGAGCCGGACATGAGGTAGCTAAGCTCAGTATAGCTCTCTGGAGCATTGGTGAACGGGTTCGGACTGAACCCATAACCATTAAGGTTGTTGAAGATGAAGATCACGTCCGAGAAATGCGCCACGCCTTCTTCCCTGTTGTAATCGTCTGTCTTGGTGTTGAATCGGTAGCAATATGCTGTCAGGTTATGTGCCGCCCATAGCTCACAGGTGTAGCGCGTCGCGGCTATGAACTGGGCGTCGCCGTAGTATGCTGCCGTCTGGCGGAATGCGGCGCCGTAGGGCTGTGGGAAGGTGACGTTGCCGCCGAGTTCTTCGGATGATGGGATGCCGAAGGAGGTGGTGTTGGGGTAGAGGTCCAGGAGCGAGGATACTACCTGTGAGTCGAGGGCCCAGCCGTAGGTTGTTGTTGCTGGGTTGGTGTTATTGGGATGGGGATGGGGGGATAAGGGAGGAAGGGAAGGAGGTACGTACAGCTGAGGTATTCTTTTAATTCGGCGGTGGTGTTCACTGGTTCTGGGCACTCTGTTGTTCCTTCGTCCGTGGTGTAGCCGATTATGATTGGTACTTTGACGAAGTCTCCTGTGTCGAGTTGCTCGCTGGGATATCGCGCTACGAAGTCACCGTCCACTGTGGGCCTCCAGTTGTAAGGCGTCGTGTCGTTGGCGGTGGTGTTCAGAATGTTGTTTAGGACTGTGAAGGGCGTGCGGCGTAGACAGTCCAGTTTGCGGGTGGTCTGGGAACATCCTGCCTCGTCTGCTATTTGCTGGAACCAAGGCTCATATGTCCAGGTGAGGTTCAAGGCACTGCCAGGTAACACCGCGCCGGACTCCATCATGCCTCCGCGGAAGAGCCCGTCATCTCGGCCGTTGTACGCGCGGATTTGGTATCCCACGCTTTCGGAGCCGGCACTTTGTCCGTAAATCACGACTTTACTAGGGTCGCCTGTATAGGAGTGACTGTCATTAGTAATTTTGGACTGTGTACGTTTAATAGCTTTATGGAAACCCACCACCGAAACCTGCAATGTTCTCTTTCACCCAATGCAGGGCCAAGCGCTGGTCCTTCAGCCCGAGATTTAACGATCCCTCATTGGCGAGCTCGACCCCATTGAAGAAACCCCAAGGACCGAGACGATAGGCAACGCTCACTGCGATAATTGGCTGGCCGATATTGACCGAGTGTTCAACAATAAATGTAAGATTGTATCGAAGGTCGGGAGTGCCGCCTTGTGCGAAGCCACCGCCTGTTTTGTTCATTCAGCGTCGGGAGTAACTTGTCGTTGAGGTAGATTTCACTACATACCATGAATCCATACAAGGACTGGAAGACTGGCATTGTCGTATTCAGCGGGACGGACCACGTTTAGGTAGAGACAGTCCTCGCTCTATTTTGCTGGTTAGTAGAGAACAGCGTAAAGAAAGTGGCGTCAAATCCTCACCTGCAGATAACCTTTTTGATCACTGCCGTAACCTATACATTCCTATCACACGCGCTGTTAGTAAGTACATGGTCGTTTAGCAGTCTGTTCAGGCTACTTACCATCGCATAGCCGGTAGCAGGGCGCAATCCCGACCAAGACTCATTAAGACTCTCGGGGTTGGCCCAACGCAAGTGTGCCAACGGGGGCTTAGCAAATGGAATTCCAAGAAAATAATCCTCATTATACTGAGGCATGTAGACACCATAATAACTTCCGTTCTTTGTCTGGGCTACTGGGTTGGTGCAGGTTGCCAGGCTGGCCATGCCCAGTGCCAACCAACTAAGCGTCGGGAGCATTCCCTTCATCGTGTTCACGGTCATGCTATGTCTTCCTGATATCGAGACATAATGATAGAAAAGCGATAACGAGGCATGAGTGATCACGGTGTTCTTATACCCTATGGCTCAGTCCTCCGGCCAGCGCATTGAGGGGTCAAGTCGAGTCGAATGTCCACGACAGCCAATTTGTTTGGTCCTACATTCCACACATGTATCCGTGTTCCATTCCTGCACCCCCGCATCTCCGGATTTAAGTTGTGGGGACCGGGACTGATAAAGGTCTGTGTTCGTGTAGTTGAGAGCCATATGGGGCCACTGACATGGTCAGTTCGGACACCCATACTCTTTCGGGAAGGTCGCATCATGCAATGGATTCGGCTTATGTCCGAGCAAGCATGGATGCGCTCTCACGCCTGCTGATGTCAGCGCGGCCTGGCTGGATCGTAAATGTAAATGACTCTTCACGGTGAGATGAATTGTGAGATACGTTAAGCTTTCAGTCATTGATTGAGTTATAGTTCACCTCTACGGCAAATGTTTTATTCCCTTAGGGCTGATATAGTCAACAGTAGGGGTGAATGATTGACGGAGAAAGGCTCAAAATGGCTTCATGATTGACGAGAAGTTAACTGCGCTTTTTCACAGAGATAGTCTGTAGGATCATAATTGTCTTTAGCAGTATTCACTGAGAAAAATCGGAGTTTAGTCCTGATTCAGAAGCATGCACTGCTAAAACAGTGTGACTAGTGGAGTACAGTGCTTAAAATTGCTTGGATCTTATGCACTGAGCGCCCGACATGAAAGGCTGGTTGGAGCGAAGATAAACCTCTTTCACCGAATGTGACCGTCCAACCCAGGGAACGAGATTTGATCTTGTAGTTTCTATCGGCAACTCCCACGTTTGACTGCAGTATCGGGAGGTGCCTTGCGAGGATGTGAGCGATAGTGGCAAACCCCATAGCCAGTAAAATAGAACAAAATGGCCGGAATTTTCAGTGATAACAAAGGTACATTCCGCCTCCAGGGAGGTATAAAACCCGCCCGGATCCCTGACTAGGTGTAAAATGAATCTCGGGCAGCAAGCTCCACAACCGACACCAAGCCCCCCTGGGGCTATCCAAACCTAGGGTCCCTACCAAATTACGCCGAGCTTATTAAAGGCAATGCAGAGTCGTGATGACAAATAATACTGTTATAAAATTCACTGAATGCTGGTACTTCACCAGATGTCTTGCCGTCTCTGCCGCCTACGCGGCCTTATATAAAGCTCTCCTCCTCCTGATCTCCCTCTCGCACTTACCTCTGACTTTGCATCATGGTGTTTGAAAATCACCTTTTTTGCGCTCGCACTACCATATCACTCAATCAAGCAGGCTCAGAAGTCCCATAACAGGCCATTGAAATGCCAAATACGAAAGAGGCCGGAGAGAAAGGTGAGGTGCGCTCAAGCTCAACAGCAAGAGTGCTGTTAGTCCCTGTTGTCTGTACTGAGGCTGCACTACTAGAGGAGCCGACTTGATAACAGAGATATATATTTATTACTTGATGGGGTGATTTGCCTTTGACCAAGCGCAGTGTACTTCAAGGGTGCAAAATAAACCCTTGCAACCGCAACAGTCACTGCCAATTCTAGCAACTGTTTTCAACCCTGCTATAACAAGATTTTCCTTACGTGTGTTTTACACCTGTATATGAACAAGATTCACGACGAAAATCACGCCATGCAGTATTCCGGCCTGCAGCAGCCTAGAGGTTGCCACTGCGAAGCCATTTACAGCTCATCTCCCATCTACACAGCTTCTCACCATACAGAAACGCATTTAACCGTCATCTGAAAGATTATACATTCACGGCTATCCTTTTCTACCAAGCCGATATGTGCACGCGGGACTGCTAGGCCTATCAGGATTCCTGGCAGCGCATGGGTCAGTCGTGTCTGTCTGGTGTGACCGAGCCGAACCTAATAGTTTACTGGAAACCGGGATAGCATCGCAAATCTGCAAGATACCGAATTCTCTGGGCCTACATCTGGCAAATAGGGACCAATTGTGGACATCAGAATTGATCCTACCCTTAATGAGTCCATTCAAGAAACTCGCTCAAACCCGGTTGGCTAACATATCTACCAAAGTGGAGTGATGGCTTTATTATATATCTTGCAGGAATATCCGTGAAATATGTTGAGGTCTAATTGTTGGGTGTACAACCTTTCCATGTGAGATGCGATGATGAGTTACAATCGTCTCAATTTCACTGAAGTTGCATCATGACGGAACAGCACATCACTGCAAGCAGTTATGCCCTGTTTGCGGGCAATGGCAAGAGAAGTCAATACACCGTCTCCTCATTTGCTTTTGCAACTTCTTCTGGCACTCAATGGGCCGCACATAGCTGGTGTGGCTACCAGGGTTAGTTAGATGAAGCAGGAAGCGCAATTACGTCCGGCTACTCCCTGGGCATAAGGTTCAAACACATATGGTCACTACAAAGCAGGTGCACCATCTGTTCTGACGACGATATATGCTGCACGTGGAGTACTACAGCAAACAGGGTCTATGGAAACGGCGAGAATATCACCTTCTGATCAATCCACCGCTAGTCCTAAGGAAGGTGCCTTCTCGAATTTGCCTTCGCAAGTTATCAGGATCAACCAGTCCGGTCAACACCTCACTGTCTGGATTTTCCTTGGAGGAATACAGTTCGCTTGGTTGTCTGATAGACTACCTACCAAGAAGAGTCGTAATTTGGGCGAGTGTCCTATACTATAGCGGTACCTCGAACACTACAGTATCAAACTCGCCGTCCTCGACAGTGACATCGCAAAACGCAATTTGGATACAGTCTCCTAACAGTATACAGAACAGGAAATGTGAGCAGCCCATGGCTGCCAGTACGTACCAGGAGCACTATGACATGACCATTTACAGGCTCAATACTCGGCCAATTCATACGCATGACATGCCGAGTCTGTCAGGAACAGATGTCACCCCCCTCATTAGAAAAAAAACGCGAGGCGTGTCTTACGGTACCAGCAGATGTACAGCGATATCCAGCGTACACTAATGCGCCGTTTATTAATTGAGTGGGCATGACATGGATCATTCTGTCCCCGACGACGATCCCGCCAGATAGAGTAGGGAGTACACTCGGACTGAAATGTCACGTGGAGGGTGCCAAGGGGGGTGTACGTCCCAAATGAGGAGTCTCTCAAGGTCGACTATCTTAACCAACTGGCGATGGCTGGTTATACGTTAATGGGAAGTTACTTGTCGGTCCGCAGAACAGCTGAGAAATTTCGAATGTGCCAAAGTAATGCGGCACTGCTGGTCTTCCGGGCTCTTGTGGCACATAAAGTATTCCTATACCTCTTGTGATTGTGTCAGGGACATCGGCCATATAGTCGAAGCAATGCCGTTGAGAGATTTGGTCTCCCGTGTTCGATGCTTCCCAATAATCTGTCGCGCGCTCAGTTGTGGCTCCGATATTGAATAAGCGGGGGCGCTTCTGGGATGCTGGCTTGTGCAGCCCTATTATGTTCGTCTACAGAAGATTATGGTAGTGCAGAAGAAAGACATTTCCTAAAAAGCCGTTGTCGATTCCAATTTCTTCGAAAGCAAAGCTTGTCTTCCTCTGGCAATACTTGTCGGAACACGATCTCACCGTCAAATCAGCGACAGGAAAGATTCATGGTCTCAGATATGTGCGTCTCATAGGCGTATGGAAGATTGGGTTAGTATTTCGTTGGTGGGGTGCAGATATGAAAATCTGTTCAAAACAATACTCCCCAAATCCTTGGTGCTTCACTCAGACATATTTCTTGTGGTTGCCTTCTGCTTTGAACAAGACAAGACGCATCTTCTCGAGGACATGTTTATGTACTCCGTTGATATGAGTCGGATCCCATATTGGATGCATACATTCAAGAAATGTACAATGAACTCATCGGCATCCTCACCTCTACCTTCGCACATAGGTATCCTACTTCAAAGGACATGCGCCGGTGCTATCAGTGCATCAAGAAGAAGCAGACGCTTTGGCAAGCGACATCGACGCGACACGTCTGTGAGATGTCATCTATACCTGTCACCCATGTTGGCACGGCTCTCATCGACTTCTACTATTGCCCAACCTTCCGGCGTATGAGATCCTGCAAGCTTGGCCGTGCCATTGGGCACATAGCCAGCCGTTGATCGAGATATCAAACAAGACCTCGAGCAGCATCTTGCCTGGTGTGATTGTACATATGTATTTGCTCTGCGGGCAAATGAGATGACTCTGTCTTTTATACTCTCCCCGAAAGGGCTATTGTCTGGACTCGAAAGATGAGCGGTTCCAAGAAACAGAAAGGCCTTCACGTGGCGGCCCATGTAACCAGGGCTAATAGCCTTGCGCCATTTTCGCCGCAGCAAGCCCCCTATGCTCTAGCTAAGGTTTACTCACTAATGGATCTGATCTCCCTTAAGTGCTAACTCGTTCTCGCAATAATTAATTTTCGTCATGGGCAAAGCAAGGCCTTGGAGAAGATGGATGAACAAGAGGGAGCGAACAAAGGGAAAGGTACCCAGTCTGGCATGTCCGCCGTGATATGGGTGGCTCTAAAGCGTCTCGAAAATGTATGACAATGAACGACCAAAAAGCTGCTTGGATTAAGACGATACAGAATCCGAATTACCAGCCTGTGGCTTCCTCTTCTATGGGGAGGACTGCTGTAGACTTCGCTTCTGGTAGTGATCCGTTACACTCCATGAACAATGTCAATAATACCAGAGATCCGCATACACGGACATTCTGGTGATTTGGAGGACTTTGGCGTCGTGTTTTCTGGCACATAAAGCCCGCATACGGCTGCTGGAGTTGCAGGACAATGTTCTTGTCAAAGGACATTGTAATGGAAGAAGATGGCCGGTGCGAGCTGCGTAGACTGGGGTCAGACTATCTGGCCATCAGAGAGAGGCAGAGTATTACTACCGATCGAGGAAGAAGCCTGCTCGCCGTTTGATCTATTATATTGTTGATGCCATGTATCTGATGCTGTTTTGAGCATGAACTGGTGAACTTGGGTTGTGAGGAAATTGGGAACCAGGATTTGTTCTGGGAGCCATGGTGGGCGCAGAAATTCCTAATGGTAATCAGACTGCCGAGTGCCCATTTGAAAATAACGCAACATGTATCCTGATCAGCTTATTCATTTAGTGCTCAATATTAGGCGTGCAATCGACTACAAGCTTAATGCCAGATTAGATACGAGCAGCCCTAGATTCAAGTGAGTAGGAACTATCGAAGACTACCCCGCCTTCGATCCAGGAAGATCTCTTGTTACGGAGGACAACTACAATCTGATGAGCCGTTATGGAAGCCATGTGATATTTAGAGTACAGGATCCAGACTATGTCAACAAAGAAACAAATGTTATAAGCAGAACTTGTGTTATATGAAGCCCTGCGTAGTACTACAATAGACGCCCGAGTGCTGTACATGTTGAGGCTTCATCGTGCGTGCCTACGTATAAGCGAAATATGTCCTCACGATATCCCATCTTTATTCTTGCCTGGTTCGGCCAAGCATCCATACCGTGTTTAATGGGCCACGATCTGAACAGTAGACAATATGATTTCTATGTTCTAGCACTGGGTTAAAACATGAGTGTTGAGCCAAGCAATTCATCCACTGTTCTTTATCCCAAGCAGTTTTCTGGCACACAGACATCTCCCCACTGTAGACCACCACATCCTCCGTTAATCTCCCTTATCATTCTTCATCCTCCTTCCTATATCCGGCTTCTGTTCATACTATAACTTCTCATGTTAGCAAAACACCCATCCTTCCTGTTCCCGATGCAGCTAACAAATACCTTTTCGAGGATCGAAGGTCTACTCTTTCACGCATCCACACTTCTTGCACTGCTCCTTGTAACCAGACTCAACCAGGTACGTGCCATAAGAGTCACACTTCGAATGGGGAGTCAAGCAGTGAGAATCAGGGTTCTGACCGCCACTGCAGTGGATGGTGTACTTGGCCCGAGCAGCCAGTTCAACCGGGTTGGGCTCAGGCTCGGCCACTGGAGTTGCGGAGACCATGGTAGCCAAAAAGGCAGTGGCAATGGCGAAGGAAGTAAAACGCATTGTTGAAGGCTGGGGTAAGGGAAGTGTTCGTTTAAATTGTTTGGCTTTTAGGGATAGTAGAGTAGTCAGTGAGAGATGAAGCTGTTGATGAGAAAGAAGGCTTCTGGAGTACGGGCTGGTACGAGCCTTTTATATCTCGAGCTGGATGAGTGCTATAGTTCTCAGTATGTGTGATTCTGGTGAACTGCTGCAAGTAGACCAAGTAGCACCGTGCTGACGGCGATGATCTGAGGCCTTACTGCTATGTCCTCTAGGTGGCCTAATTGGGCGTTTGCTCGGCTCAAGGTGAATCCGGTGTGATTGAAGTTCGGACTGGGGTATTGCACGCCTGATCGTCGGCCCCGGTTGTGTAACGACGGCGATGCTGCTGAGGAAGCTCTTCTGGTAAGCATTATGCGTAGCCATTCAGTGCTGAAGGGAGGGTATTCGCTTCCACATCTTGTCAAAGGAGTGTAGAACATGAATGCGATGGATTGTGCACTCAACACAAGCAAAGCAAAGATCAAAGAGGGTCGGTGTCTGTACTTCCTGAGGACCATGCTTAAATGGACCTTGAATCGGTAGGGCTGACTGACGGGAGTGCTCGGAAACGAAAGCAAGGAACAATGCGGTTGCTTCGCTGATCTCCAGGGTCTTGCGTAATACACAACACTCAGGAGCAAACAAGCTCAGCTTATGTGCTGAGAAGATCACAAAGAGCGACAAAACCCCGATTGGCAGGCAATATGTGAACAACCCTGCCATGTATCATGTGACTCCCAATAAGGTATATTTCCTGTTCACTAACCCTGAACGCAACAGTCTTCCATCCATCCTTCATCCTCCTAACTATCCTATCCATCAATAATCATCCTCTCCTCGAATCAGTTCCATCAATCCATCCACCCCACAAACCATAACCACAAATAACAATCCTCCAAACATGGCTCCAGGCCCATTCTCCCGCCAACATCCTTATGAGATCCACACCCCCAGCTGGCACGCAGCAAGCAATCGCCCCATCGTGGACGGCAAATACAATGATCCCGAAACCGGCGAAGTCCGAAATACTACAGGCTTCGAGTTTTCCGGACCCCCTGCTGTTGATGTTATCATTACAAATCTCCATGAGGACTCGTCCACCTCTGTCCGGCGCGTTCAGCTCCCCTTTCGTGTGGAGGCGCTGCTAGTGTGGATCATGCGTATAGTGGATGAACGCAAGCTACAGATAGACTCTCTGAATGCTACTCCGTATGCTATTCGAGTTGTGCTGGCTCATGAGTTGAGTGGGGAGGAGTTCACAGAAGTTGCTGATGTGATGGCCAACGGAATTTGGAATGATCGGCAGTGAAGGATGGGCTGGTGAGACTGGGATGGACAGAGTCGATAACGCTTGTTTGCTTTTTTGCGGGGTGAGACCCGTAATATGGGGCAAAGGGTGTTTGTTTATTTGGTTATTGGCCTTCGGGCTAGACTGTCCGATTGGAAGTTCGACTGGCGTGGGGTTGTCTGAAGACTCAATGCTGTGTAACCTACCTTTCGATAGTCTTGGACTTTAATGAAGCATACTGCCCTATACGAGTTTTTATCACAGTAGTCATTTTAGCGCGTTATATCTATAGCATTACTACTTAGGCAGCCAGTTTAGGTGCATTCAATGTGGCGTGGATTGGATTTTGACACGGGATTGAGTGAGCTTGGGCAACCGGCGGCCAAAGATCCTAGGCGAGTTTCTCGAAAGAACTATTTATTGCTGAGACACTTCAGCCTTTTACTCTATAATGCAATATTTCCCTCAGAGTCCACACTTGCGGCTTCCTGAGTCCATGTGTAAAGTAGGTATCGCTTTTATAGCATATCCAGGGTTTAGATAGATTCACATAAGTCAGCATCGACGACCCGTTCAAGCAATGCTTTCAGTCTTCTCAATCTCCTCCCTGCTCAAGCACCACTTCTTCTGCAGGTCGGCATCAAGAGCCAGGGCATACACATCCTTAGGCCACCACTCTCCCCAGCTAGTCAAGAAGATCTGTTCCGGATCCGATGGGAAGTCGTTCACGAAAAAGGCGCGGAGGAGGTTCTGGGCTCCTATAGACGTCTGTCAGCAAGTCATAGTAGATAATAGGCAATAAAACAGATTTCTACCTTCCGGGATAGGCTTGGCATCAGTCATGTTCATAGTCAAGCCCATTTGCGTAGCGAGGTTGGTGCTGGGAATAAGACCCGGAGAAACAGCAACGACCTTGCAAGAGGGCAGTTCGCGGCGCCAGTAAAACGCACCCAACAGCTGAGCAAATTTCGAGGCACTGTACACTACGCGGTAGCCTGCACCAGAGTTGGCTTTCAAGTCCACATCAAGGGTTGCTATACCATATAGAGTCAATGAATGCTAGTATTACATACCAAGGATGCGTGTGGGATACTCACCTGGATCCTGGTCCCTGACACCGCGGATCGCGCCGGAAGAAACGAAAATAACCCGTGACTGCGAGGCAGACAGCACATCACGGAGCAAGTGGACCAGATAATGCTGGGCTGTTATTTATTTATTCCAGGGTTAGCGAAACTACTCATCATCGTGTATTAGTGGTCTGCCAATTTTCCACCTACCCAGATGGTTAACCACATATCCCTGGCACCATTTTGATCCATTCGGACCGGGACCTTCTGCCTTGTCCAGGGTGCCGGCACAGAGGAAAAGATAAGCCAGCTGCTCGGAACCCAGCTTGGAAAGAACATTCGCTGCGAAAGACTGCACGCTCTTCAGGGATAGGAGATCCAGTGGGTAAATGGTAATAGAATGCTTAGAGGTATCATAGTTGAGGCTATCGTAAGCAGCCTGAACCTTGGCCGTGTCTCGCGCGCCCAGGATGAAGTTGTACGGCTCGGCTTGCTCAAGCAACTGCTTGACTGTTTCAAAGCCCTGTGGCGTCTTAGAGACTAATACATGCAGGGGTGGAAAGCTAAGCTCACCAAGCCGGATGAGATGCCAGTTGCGACGATTGTCTTTGCCATGATTGCTAGTGTGAGGCTAAGAGTTTTATTGGTATGTTATGGCGTTATTGTTGGGTGACAAGGGGAGAGTCCGAGGTTGCACCAAAAATATGCCCCGCCCGGAGATCAAGTGGGGTATTGATGTCATGTGGTTTCTGTCTTCTTAGCGTCCACTGGGTTCTGAATGATAACTCCGATATAAATATCTTATTGGCTCTTTCACTGTTTAATAGCGAGATAGACTGGTGAGTTACTAACTTACTTGTATATGAGATTTGATTAAAATCTACAAATCATATATTTCATGTTGTATTTTCGTAACAAACACGCTTTTCTGATAATAGTATTTAGCGAAAATATTTTACTTCATTGACGCTGGATAGCACCCTATTTATACTAACCCAAGGGCAACAGTAACGCTAAGAGAGGCCATTTCGATATCTCTACAATATGTTGTAAGCTCACGAGCAGTGAAGGTTTCACTGGATGGTCAAACTTTCCGTGGCACATGTGCGGATCAGGCATGGATAGCTTTGAGCAACCCGTAACCTTAACACATACTCTCGTAGGTCATGTGTTTATACAACCATCATGATAGCTCAAGGCTCTATGAGGATTATAAAGCACAACTGCTCTCTTATAGTAAGATTTGTAAAGCTGTAACTCATGTCTCTCACAAGCCATTAGCGGAAGATGGGATACACGCTGTAAGCGACCACTGAGAAGATATAGAAACTCGATTAATCATACGGTTTTCTCTCCATGATGTAGTAAGATCACAGTGGGAAATAGTGCCGGGAACCCTACACCCATATATATAAAATGAGCAAGTGCCCGTGGGGGAGGGGTGTGGGTTTCTCTTAGATCCGTGACACTCCAAGGACTCAAGTGATAGGCAAAGCACACCAACCATCTCTAAGCATGTTTGGTGGAGACTTACATCTCAGGTCTTTCTTGAGTGCACAGGTGGGAATAGAGGTGGCGTGTGGAGTAGGAATTTCTCTGTTTAATTAAAAACGATGAGAACTGATATTCGTGCCGTCTAAGATGGACGAATGAAACGTGGCTATGGCGTGATTTGATACTACCTTAGAACGCTAATCATGCAGGAACAGGGAAAGTAAATAGAAAGCCTTATCACTAGCCACTAGTGGTGGTCACCCGACGTACTACAGAAGTCACTCTTCCCTCTAGGGAAGCCCCGAGCAGGCCCTAGCCTCAACCAGCCTCCTGCCCCTCTTTTTGTCTCATGGAAATTATGCTATATCAACTAATCCTTTTCCTCTTTAGTTGTTCGTTACAATTCTCTGGACTGAATCCATGTTAGAGAATCAAAATACCAAGCAGCCACTCATCGTATCTCACCCAAAGACGCTAAACCTTTCATACATCATGTTTCGCCTTCCCCGTGTGCCAACCACTGATCAAATCCTTCCCCTCATGCATCAAGTTATTGATGAACTCACCCAGACGCGCAATTCAATACTCAAAGGAACGACTCCAGAAACAGCTACCTTCGCCAACACTCTTCTTCCACTGGCACAGACTGAAAATGCCGTCCAAGGCCAGCTAGCCATGATTGACATGCTGCAGTACGGTGCCCCCTTGCGCGAGACCCAGGATGCTGTTCACTCAGCGTTGAGTCTCTATGCCGAAGCAAGGGCAAGTTGGATCGCCGACGCGGGGTACTTTCGTCTCCTGCAAGCCGTCCGCAACAATAAAGAGGAATATGAAACATTGGACGGTGAATCACGCCATCTGCTCGAGCGAGAGTTGACAGACTATCGGATGGCGGGGCATGGCGTGCTGAGTGCTGAGGAAGTGGAGGGGTTTTTGCAAGAGGGGGCGAGCATTGGACAGATAGAGAGGAAGTTTCAGGAGAATCTATCAAGGGAAAACGGGGGAGTATGGTTTACCCAGGATGAGTTGGAGGGAGTACCTGCGAGTGACCTGGGGAAGTGGACGCCGGAGGGTGCTAATGGTAGTAAGGATGGGAAAGAAAGGTTATTTGTGCCCTTTGCGAATGGAGGTACATTGGCAGTGTTGACCTATGCTCGTCGTCCTGAAACCCGGAAGAAGATGTTTTTGGCTGATAATCAGAAGCTCAAGAGCAATCAGCCGCTATTTGAGGATATCATCCGGCGAAGGGCTCGGCGAGGCCATCGATTGCATCATCCTACCCACGCTGGGTATCGACTGCAGCAGCGTATGGTGAAGGATCCAGAATGGCTAGGTGGGTTTCTCAATGGGCTCAAGGAGACACTGTGCGCCCGGGGCAAAGATGAAATTGCAGTCTTGCAGCAAAGGAGGCTGAAAGATCTGGAAGAAAGGCATGACACATATAGTGGAGGTTTCCCTCCGTGGGATAAACCCTATTACATGCGGCTAGTAGAAGAGGAGGTTGCCATTGATCAGCTACAGCTATCCGAGTTCTACCCTCTCGAGCAAACAGCCATAGGGATGCTGGGAATTTTTGCATCAGTTTTGGGTCTCCAGTTCGAACCTGTTGAAGCTGAGGCAGAGGCTCTCTGGCATGAGTCCGTCCGGGTATTCTCCGTCTGGGAGAGTGCGCCCAGTAAGCAATTCATTGGGTATCTCTATTTTGATTTGCTGTGGAGAGAGAATAAATACCGCGGTAATCAAAGCGTGAATCTTCAATGTGTAAGTGCCAATCACGACATTAGCGATACTACGCCCGATTTAGACTAACATAGGATGTCAGAGCTACCTCCGACCAGATGGCATTCGGCAATACCCTGCCACTATCCTAATGTGCTCCTTCCCGACTCCTTACCCCACCGGTTGTGCGTTGCTCAAACATCACCAAGTGGTGACTCTTTTCCATGGTAAGCTCTATTCAGATAATCTTGAGTTTATCCTAACGAAAGCACACAGAAATGGGTCATGGTGTCCATGATCTTCTTGCACGAACGAAGTATGTCCGTTTTCATGGTTACCGGCTTCCTCCTGATTTCGGAGAGATGCCCAGTATGATGCTCGAGAACTGGTGCTGGATGAAAGAGGTTCTGCAGGGCCTCAGCTGCCACTACACCACACTAGACCAAAATTACTTGAATGAGTGGCGCAAGCAATATCCCAACTCGCCCGATCCGCCTAAGAAAATTTCTGAGGATTTAGTTGAACGCCTGATCAAGCACCGTTACCTAAACCGAGGCCTGTATCATCTTTATCAACTGTATGTCTCGCCACAATGTCTTTGGATTATATTAGTCTGACTTGAGCAGGTCAATCTCCATCTTCGACTTGCAAATCCATAGTCTCAAGACAGATGCAGAGATTTTTGATCTGAATGTTCAAAAGCTCTGGTATGACCTCCGTGAGGAGATCGAAAGCATAGACTTTTCCGAGTGCCGAGGCGGCTATGCATTTGGAACGTTCAGCCATCTGACAGCGGGCTATGATGTCTGCTATTATGCCTATCTTATGTATGTTCTTCGTCTTATCCGAGACAGTCTACTTCATTGTATGATTCATGCGAACTAACTGTCTAAAAGCTGTACAGCGATGGCCCAGGACGTCTTTCTTTCTATGTTCGCTGAGGATCCCTTCCAGAATGATAAGTGGGAGAAGTACCGCCGCGAAATCTTACAAAATGGTGGCAGCCAGCAAGACCTGTTCCAGATGTTGGAGAGATTCTTGGGTCGTCCGCCAAATATGAATGCCCTTGTGGAAGGTCTGAAGCGGGCAGACAGTCAACATGAATGTTAGAGGAGGCGGCATATTACACCATAGGCTTTTCAGACAAAATTACTGCAGAAGTCTCAGCCACGCAATGTTACCATGCCACGCCAATCAGGTCAGCTGCTTGAATTGGGTTCAGAATCCCCAGGAACCCGAGCGGCCCGAGCCTGCCGAGAGTCACAGACGATGCGGAGGGCCACTTGGCATCCAATGTCTGCGTTTTATGATTTCCAGAGCATGTCTATCTTGACCATATAAGCCACACCGTAGTGCTATGTCATAGACTGTCTATCGGAAGATGTCCAGTAATTGTCCGTGTTTCTTACAGATGCTCGGGAAGTCAATAGACTGCAGGGCTCTTCATGCGTCATGATATAACCGACGGCACCTCCTTTGGGCTGTGCTTAGTGGGTCCGGTAAGCTAGACATTCAAGCGCAGCCATTCACAGCTTCAGTCCAAAGACATGACCGAATAGTAGTATCCTAATAGAGTTCGAGTAGCATGACCACATGGTGTGAAGAACATGGGTTCCCCTCACGGCGCCGGTTAAAAGCCATCCCCTCCTCAAAGAAGAAACATCGTACGACGTACACGGGTCGGTTGTTTCAACTATTATATTTCATTCTAACTATACTTATTGCAAAGCGGAATTTGTTCCGATAATCATACAAGGCTTTCAGGGGTAGTCCCATCTCAATATCCGGGGTAATGACATCCAAGTCGTACCTACCAAAACTTACCTATTACTCGAAAGTAGCACTGCCTCCGGAAAAGCATTCACCAACCCTCCACAAAACTAACTTCCACAGGAATGCGGCACCTCCATTCCCTCCACAATTACCGAGGCTTATCCCAGGAGGAACAGATCCCTGAAGAAACGTGACGAACCGTGATGAGCGGGCAATCACAGATTAGCCTCTTCCCCCGCATCCCCCGACGGGCAAAACCCCGGTGGCACTGGCATTAGCCCTAGGCACGGACAAAGCCATTGTCAAGCCTTCAGGAACTAAATCAACTAAATCTGCCCATCCCTGCGGGGTACATACTCCACGACGCCCTGCACGCCCGCCGGAATGCCGTCGTCGCTTGACATCATGTGGAACAACACATTCCTTCTGCCTCAAAACTGAGCCTTTTAACCGACCGGTTACTTAACAATGTATACAGGAGGTCTCAATATTGGAGGAAAATCCCTGACCCCTGAAGCCACACATGTAACTAGACTTTTGGGATCTTGCATTTCATGCATAGGCACTGACTGCAGTAAAGAATATAAATAAGCCTCCCTTCGCACCCTAGTAGCATGATTTCTTTCTCCAAGCGGCCTATCTCACTGTCTCCTCTCCTAGCCCAGAACTTACTGAGCAGGCAGTAATCCTCCACCATGTTCTCCCGCCGAAACCTCGTCGCCCTAGGGCTGGCAGCCACCGTCAGCGCCGGCCCCTGTGACATCTACGAAGCCGGCGACACGCCCTGCGTAGCCGCGCACAGCACCACCCGCGCCCTATACAGCTCCTTCAGCGGCGCCCTCTATCAGCTCCAACGTGGCTCCGACGACACCACCACCACCATCTCCCCGCTCACAGCCGGTGGCGTCGCCGACGCCTCCGCCCAAGACACCTTCTGTGCCAACACCACCTGCCTGATCACCATCATCTACGACCAATCCGGCAACGGCAACCACCTGACCCAAGCACCCCCGGGAGGCTTCGACGGCCCCGACGTCGACGGCTACGACAACCTCGCCAGCGCCATCGGCGCCCCCGTCACCCTCAATGGCCAAAAGGCCTACGGCGTGTTCATGTCCCCCGGCACGGGCTACCGTAACAACGAAGCCACCGGCACTGCCACCGGCGACGAGCCCGAAGGCATGTACGCCGTCCTGGACGGCACGCACTACAACGACGCCTGCTGCTTCGACTACGGCAACGCCGAGACCAGCAGCACCGACACTGGCGCCGGCCACATGGAGGCCATCTACCTCGGGAACAGCACCACCTGGGGCTACGGCGCCGGCGACGGGCCCTGGATCATGGTCGATATGGAGAACAACCTCTTCTCCGGTGCTGATGAGGGATATAACTCCGGTGATCCCTCGATCAGCTACAGCTTTGTCACTGCCGCGGTCAAGGGCGGGGCTGATAAGTGGGCTATTCGCGGTGGTAATGCTGCCTCTGGGTCCCTCTCTACTTACTACAGCGGCGCTCGCCCGGATTACTCCGGCTATAACCCCATGAGCAAGGAGGGCGCTATCATCCTGGGTATCGGCGGTGACAACAGCAACGGCGCCCAGGGTACCTTCTACGAGGGTGTCATGACCTCCGGCTACCCGTCGGACGATGTCGAGAACTCCGTCCAGGAGAACATCGTGGCTGCGAAATACGTCTCCGGCTCGCTGGTCAGCGGCCCGTCGTTCACCTCCGGAGAGGTGGTCTCGCTGCGTGTCACTACGCCCGGTTACACGACGCGGTATATTGCGCACACTGACACCACTGTGAACACGCAGGTCGTGGACGACGATAGTTCCACCACGCTGAAGGAGGAGGCTAGCTGGACCGTGGTGACCGGTCTGGCTAATAGTCAGTGCTTCTCGTTCGAGTCGGTTGATACCCCTGGTAGCTATATCCGGCATTACAACTTTGAGTTGCTGCTTAATGCCAATGATGGCACGAAGCAGTTCCATGAGGATGCTACTTTCTGTCCTCAGGCGCCGTTGAATGGAGAGGGTACTTCGTTGAGATCGTGGAGTTATCCGACGAGGTATTTCAGACATTATGATAATGTCCTGTATGCTGCTAGTAATGGCGGTGTGCAGACGTTTGATTCCAAGACATCGTTTAATAATGATGTTAGCTTTGAGATTGAGACGGCGTTTGCTTCGTAAGGGGGGAATTGGGGGTTGGTTGGTGGTTTGGGTGAGGGGTTGTATCTGCCTGTGTTGGCGGGGAGAGTGGTTTGTAAATAGGTTATTTTTGGTATATAGCACATGAATACTATACGATAGTATACATGATAGTGGTTGTTTCATGTAATCGAGAAATTATTCAAGGCTTGCAATACAATATCTTATTACTGTATCTCGTGGAGCATTCACAGACTGAACGGCTGCACAATGATTCTTATGCGGTGATATTGACTGTGATTAGATGATATATTCAGGTGTGCTATTTTTCTTGTATTTATGCTTCATGCGAATATATGTATTTCACGACAGGCAGAGAGGTTAAACAAAGCATACTAACGAGCGATTCAGATATGACATGTATGAATAAGACAAAAGTACTGCGACACTCAAGACCAACACAAACCAGTATACTTCATAACAATATATGCTAGGCAGTACCTCCGATTCTACGATGAGCTTTACCAGAAAATGGATTTCTTTGTCCCTCGTCATTCTCAATTTTTGGGCCTTCCACGGCTGCGGCAACCTGTTGAGCAAGACGTGTTCTCTCGTACGGATGGACGTTGATCTTCTTCTCGAGCAGGTCCAATTGCTCTTTCTCCAAATGGCGGACTCTGACCTCACCGGAGGAATCACTCGGCAAGCATATCTGGTAAGTCGCTGAAAATTTCTTCTCGAAACTGGCGTAGCTTGGTGGCCACTGCGGGAAGCGTCGGAAGTATTTGCCTGTCCAGACGGTCAATATGAATGAGTCGGATACTTCAATGCCCGCCTGCCTTCTACGGTCGAAGAAATGCTGGCCGATGCTTCTCACGGAGGCATAGTTTATAACAGGCTTGATGGGGTTTTGTATGTCGAGGAGACCTAATTCAAAGTGCATAGATAGGCTCCTGAGATTGTGGAAACCGGTTGCTAGTTTGTCGAAGACGTCGTTGGGCTGTTGTGTGGTTATAGTTCAGTTCATGGGATGTACTAAGAGGATTCTTTGGCTTACCCATTGATCGTTCTCTCTCTTGACTCCCACCTGCAGTGACTTCAGTTTGGGACAGCTAACATCGAGGTGGCTGAGCTCCTCCGCAGTTAGGACTTGTCGCGGATGCGCCGTGGAGGCAGATTCTTCTTCGTGCAGGCACAGAGTAGATAGGTTACTATGACGAGCAATTGCCTCAACTGGGCACATGATCCCTTTCAAAACCAGAGTTTCCAGAGAATCAAAGGACGAAAGGAGTTCGATAAGTCCCTCTCGCTCATACTTGCCCTCGCCTTGCCAGCTACACACATTAAGACTTTTCAGTGACGTAGCATGCCCGGCTAACATTTGGAACAGGCCAGCGCAACGCTGCGGTCCTACAGCGAGTGATACCAACTTGTCCCACTGAAGCCCATCACGCCAATATTTCCACTGCTTGTCGTCCAACCAGTATCCGTCGAGGGAGAGATGCTCAAGTGGCGGGAAAGTTTCTTCGCCTGTAAGCTGAAAGCTCCATATGACAGGATGCCGAGGCATCCTTATAACACAACCACCATATTGTTTTACGACAGAAAGCGAGAATGACCGTAGGTGTGGGCATTTGAAAAACAACTTTTGCAACGTGAGAATCTGCCGATTTGGCCCGTTCTGGTCATAGCTTGGGTCCACAGAGGCAGAGAGAGTCGTGACACAGGGTAAAACCTGCTCCGCCAGGCTGGAGATTTTATCCTCGCTTTTCTGATCCAGTAGGAGAAGTTCTGGCTTCCTACTATGTTCACAAATGGTACGAATCAAAGTTGTCGATTGAATACTGGGAAAGCCTATGGTGATCCTTCGAAGGTTTGGCAGACGGGCAACCAGTGCAGCCAAGCAATCATTGATCTGGAGGCGTTTTAGGAATTTCGCGTCTACCCAAGCAAAGGAGGGACTCGAAACGTTAATGTCCTGTACCCAGGCTCGTAAGGTGTCATTTGCGTCGTCTTCCAGTCGAGATAGTAGAAGCCAAGGACCTCTCGGCAATTCCGGTTCCGTTTTCGCTTCTGTAGATGTTGACAAGTGGCGGCGTTCAGAAGGATCCTTATAAGCCACCAGGGAGATAGATCGATACAAAAGAGGTGTCGCAATGGAGTTAAAGACCTTGTCGACCAAGCAGAGCTGGCACAAATCCTGAGTGGTGCACAGCTCAAGTACAAGACGCCATACATCCAAGCTTACTGCATCTCTCATCATGATGATGAATGGTATATAACTCGAGCGAGCAGTTGAAGCTGCAGAGATGATTCCAGTAAGAAATATGTAGAAACTGTCAAGAAAATGAAGATTTCCGTAAATTTTGAGGCTATATAATCATCGCTCAAAACTATAATCAGGTGGGGGAAATAAGGCAGACGTGAAGTATTTATAGTGCCTAAGTCTAGGAGACGAGGCTCTGCGACCAAGCATTCACTGACTCAGTGCGGAGCGCAAGTGAAGTGACGCCATGCATTTGATTGGATATTGGGGAAGACAAGGCTGAGAAAGAAGCAGGGGCTTCAATGGAGGGGAAGAACAAGCCACCGCCGGGAGTAAGTCTGATTGGTTGGAGAGCAGTCGACAGCCAGTCACCCTCACATCAGCTGCTTTATCATGGCCCTCACTGTCTCCCAGGAATGGTGTGGGACATGACTAGCCTGGTCCCGGACACTCAACAACTGCGAAACTGATTACAAGCTGGATACGCGTGCAGAGAAGGCTGCATATGAAAAGAAGCGTATATCGTACAATCTATCTATCTACAGATTATTGAGGATCCTACAACTTCTCGGCCTCTGCCATCAAGTCCTCAACCTTGAAGTTCTGCACGTCACCGCGAGTGAACGCCTGCAGAAGCTCGCCTTTCCGACCATTAGCCTGACCCCCAAAGTCATAGAACCGCTGAACACAGCTAACCAGCCAGGTGGCATCTGTAGCAGATACTCCGGAATCAGGCATCACCTGCCCATTCATCAGAACCAGACCCTTCTCATCCGCCAGATCCAGATAATGCGTGATCGTCGTATGCGGCTGCGCATACGAGCCATGCAGCTGATACGAAGCCAACGCTGTGAAGATAATCGTGGAAGTGTGATCGTTGGCCGAGGCAGCGGAAGAAGCGGTCGGGGACGCTGGAGGATGGAAACCCCATTGGAGGAAATGGATGTCCGCGCCGCCCTTGGCGGCTTCTGCGTTCTCCTCCGCAGTCTGCGCCTCACTCTGCGTACGGGGTAGGGGAAGAACGAATTGCGGGTTCTTGCGTGCGGCGGAGACGATGCGCTGGTATATTTCTACCGGAATTGCGGCGCAGACCGAATGAGAGTTATTGGCGAAACGAAGACGCCAGATGGCCTCGATTTCCTTTGGCGGAAGGCTGCGCACTTTCTCGACGTCGATGAACGAGTCAAGAGGTCTGATTCCAGTCGATGTGGCGGAGGAGGCGGCGCGAGCCTGGGGAGTAGGTGGAGGAGGAGGGGGTGAAGGGCCGGTCTTGGACGGGGAGGGCGAGGACTTGGGCGGCTCCGGAGTAAGAGGAGTTGTTGCTTTGTGACGGTACTCTTCAATCTTCTCCTTGTAGGCTTCCTTCAAAGAATCGATGTCTCCGTGTCCCTCCCTATGGTGAGACAAGTGAGTGAGTCGGTCATGACTACTGTCGCGGTCGACTTACGCTTGGGCTTTCTGCTTGAGTTTCGAGCGGTACCTGTCCAGCACTTGGTTGGGATCGTGGTGTGTGGCGAGGAAGCGGACATCGTGCACTTGGGCCCAGCGCCTTTGCTGGGGGCACAGGGACGATGCCCGAGTCCTCAACAGGGACTTGAATGCAGAAGATCTGAAATACGCCATCTTAAGACTGCTGCTCTGAAGGAGCAAAGAAAGAAGGTTAATACTTGGGAAGAAGTCCGGCCGGTTGAGCTGATCGGGACTAGCGTTGATTACATAATATATGCATAAATACTGCCATCTCACGGCATAAGCAGAAGATGCTTCAAACCATAGCTAGAAATTGCACAGTACCAACGTGAAGGTGAACAGTAGAATATGAACGCTGTATCAATGTAAGGTACTGGAAGAATGTCGGCTAGGGGAATGGGTACCGCGTAGCAGTTTTCCATATGTATCCACATATGGAAGATCAAGCTCCCTGCAAGTCTCCTGCCCAGAACCTTCAAGGGTGCTGAGCTGTAGAACCAAATTAAAGATAAAGTCTGTATTATAACAGCTTATATTATGTAGTACTAATATATATAGGAGAACTACTGTATCTAATCAGCGTCTGAGCTCATACGTATATATCATTCGAACAAGGCACTAGATATGAAGGTGCCTATAGCCTCCTCAACACTAGAATTTCTGCACTTTCTGGGTCATTTGAAGTGCATTAGGGGCAACTGACAGACTGATGTGCTCTCTGGTCCATAGGAGAAAAGTTAAGCTGATTCATCTCAGTAGTGTCGCTCTAGACGAACTAGACTATAACGATCGTCCGGCAACCACTCATGACGGGATATATGGGCCCGCAGTGTCTCTACGGACCGGGTGTGACTCATTGCTTGGAGTTAGAGAATGATTCCGCTGCCTACAGCTATCTGACAGTTAAGTGTTATACATTCAGTCTGTTCTCAGTTCTTCTCGATTGGCAATCCATAACATCCGCACTATAGCGAAAGCAGGGCGTCATTCGTCTAAGACGATCGATAGATGGCCTGGCCATTTACGTTCGTCCTGCAAAAGTGCTCTAGTGCCATTCCAGTTTCCTGGGGAAAGCTGCTCATCCTACTATCTATTCTTAGCCGCAGTAGTGGGGTACTAAGGGAGCTCTAGAGTCTAGACATCCTTGGCTGCTCTTCGGCTTACTATAGAACCATTCCCTTTAGTATTGCGCCCAGTCGATGCTTGAGTATAGTGACTAGAGACAAATTCGAACTAGTGATAAGGCCGAGCCAGTATAACCGTCAGTATCTCACAAATTTTTATACTCCATCTAATAATGATATCAGCTAAAAAGATGCAGAATTGGAAAGCCCAAGTGGAAACAACCGGAGCATATGGACAGATAAGTAATTGCTCCCGCTAGGTCTACTATAAATTTAAAGACAGACGTCAGGTAGCTTGCTCAACGTAGTTCCGATATTTTACTACCAGATAACTTACTTCTACTTAATTCATGTTGATCATGGTGGTGAGAATGATTCTAGCTTCAACTACAGGAACTTAACTAGTAATTGCGGAAACGAAGCCCGGCAACTTATATACTGCGTAGTTAGTCCGTGCGATCCTTTTTCGGCTTTCAAGAATTGACTGGGAAGTCAAAGAGGCTGATGATATTTCCTAATTCCATTCTTTGTAATTGTTTTCAGATCGCATGTATTCATATGCGCTCAACAATACATGAGGACTGAGTTTTGTGGGAGTGCACACAACTCAAGAACCTAATCCACAGTACCCGGTGCCCTTCCCCGGGTCCATATCGGAGGCCTCTTATTAGCCGTCGGGGAAGTACTGCACGTGACTACGGAAATGTCCCCTCCTCTGTCCTGTTCCTAGTATGTTAAAGGTACTGAATCTCGGCAATTGTGTGAAGCTGGAGAGAGGTATCATCTAGCTACTGTATTATCACCTCCAATGCTATCCAGGACTCATACCGAGCACAGTTCCCTTCAATATTGTAGTGAGTCATTATTCACGGAGATTACTTATCGGACGAGGCGATAATGACTTCCCCTATCGATGCGGGGAGATCCACAGTCTCTGATTGGTTGATTTCCAATAATGTTACGTAAGGCACTAGCTCCGACTCCGGATGAGTCAACGACCTGCATCGACCGCCTGAATGAGCCATCGCGAAAACTGATCTTCCCAGCGATCTTTTTTCTTTCCCAAGTCTCCTCTTTCATCCTTCTCTACTGCCCAACAACCTCTCTCCTCGCCGCTCTATCCGATATCCCCCTCCAAACCCCTTCACATAATCACAATGGCCTCTGAAAAGCCCCGTGTCTGTCTGGCCTACTCCGGTATGTTCTCGCCCGCCCCGACCCCGCATATTGCGGTCTTGATAAGGCTCGATGCACTAACTTGACAATTACCACTTCAGGCGGTCTTGACACCAGCTGCATTCTGCGCTGGCTCATCGGTACATTTTTCTCCCCATTTCCGGTCGAATTCCGATCGGCTCGACTAACAATTGCTCACAGAGGAGGGTTACGATGTCGTCTGCTTCCTCGGTAATGTCGGCCAGGAGGAGGACTGGGCCGCTGTCGAGGCCAAGGCTCTCAAGATCGGTGCGAAGAAGATGATCATCGAGGACTTGCGCCGTGAATTCATCACTGAGCTTTGCTTCCCCGCTATCCGTAAGACTGCTAGTCCGGCTACGTGCCCCGATCTGTCCGCTAATGTCTCATCTCAGAGTGCAATGCCATCTACGAGGGCCGCTACCTTCTCGGTACGTCATGACGCTCTGCTAACACGCCCGGGACACCAATTGACCTCCTCTAGGTACCAGCTTGGCTCGCCCTGTGATTGCCCGCGCTCAGATGCGCGCTGCTCAGCGTGAAGGCTGCCAGTTCGTCTCCCACGGTGCCACCGGCAAGGGTAACGACCAGGTCCGTTTCGAACTTGCCTTCTACGCCATCCAGCCCTCCATCAAGGTCATTGCCCCCTGGCGTGACCCTAAGTTCTTCAAGCGTTTCGCTGGTCGCAACGATCTGCTTGACTACGCCGCCCAGACCGGCATCCCTGTTACTTCCACCAAGGTGAGTGGTGTCTATACAGATTGCGCAAACATAGGCTAATACAATATGATATAGGCCAAGCCCTGGTCCATGGGTTCGTCAAATTGCTCTTCCGCGCGTAATTTTTCTAAGGCATACTAATTATTGGTATAGACGCCAACTCTGCCCACTGCAGTTACGAGGCCGGTAAGTGAACCATTGGAAGTAAATTACCCTATCGTCTTACTGACAAGCCAATAGGTGTCCTGGAGGACCCCAACCACACTCCCCCCGCTGACATGTGGACCATGACCGCCGACCCTATGACCGCTCCCAACGAGCCCACCGACCTCACCATCCACTTCGAGCAGGGTGTTCCCACCAAGCTTGTCACTCCCGAGAAGGAGTACACCGACCCCGTTGAGCTTTTCTACACCCTCAATAAGATCGGTTTCACCCACGGTGTTGGCCGTATCGACATTGTCGAGAACCGTTTCATTGGCCTGAAGAGCCGTGGCTGCTACGACTGTACGTGTTCTGCACTCCATACTGCACGCCCAGCTAGGTCGTTGCTAACATGTTGCAGCTCCCGCCATGACCATCCTCCGCGATGCCCACCTTGACCTCGAGGGTCTGGTCCTGGACGGCCAGGTCCGCGCTCTGCGTGACCAGTTCGTCACCCACAACTGGTCTATCCAGCTTTACAACGGATAGTACGTGCTTCGCCAATCTTATTCTATAGAGAGGTGTTCTAACCCGCCCACAGCTACTTCAGCCCCGAGCGTGAGTTCATCGAGAACAGTCTCAAGTTCTCCCAGCGCGTAAGTCCCCGTAAACCCGAATTTAGCTGGCCCGCATCATCTAACTAAGCTTAACAGCGCGTCAACGGTGAGGTCCGTCTCCGCTGCTACAAGGGCCACGTCTACATCCTCGGTCGCTCCTCCAGCACCGAGAAGCTCTACTCCGAGCAGGAGGCCTCCATGGACTCCCTGGACGACTTCGAGCCCACCGACACCACCGGTTTCGTTGCCATCCAGACTATCCGGTACGTCCTACCCCAGTCACTTTATATCTGCCTCGAGTGGAAGCATAAGCTAATATTTCCCGTCCTACAGTCTGAAGAAGTACGGTCTCCAGAAGGCCGAGGAGGGCGAGTCCCTCAGCCGTGCATGAATTATGAATGAGCGTTATTGAGTCATGGGTGTACGGGGAAACAAAAAGTAAATAGATCACACAAATAATACCAATGAAATATTCAAGGCAATTAATCCCTTTAAGCAACACTTACCATTACGTGTAACCTATCTTCTAGGCCAGATGCGCAGCCAATTCCTCGGAAAGTCAATCGACAGTACTGAAATGAACCAAACCCGTCTAATAATAGTAGGGTTGGTTCTCAATACACCCGAACAAAGCATTATCCACAACCCCCATTATCCAGTCCACTTATCTAGTTCCTAGGACGACGACGACGCCGACGACAACCACAGCCCGTCCCACATCTCTCGATACAAGACATCCCATTCCTAATTCCTTGACCTGTTGTCCGAGCAAACCTTGCCACGCCTGCTGACGCAGGTACCCCTAGTGTGACGATACCTCATGATCGAAACCTAACAAATCAGCGGCCCCTGATTTTCATCCAACTGACGATCCTCCCAGTGGAGCAGCCGTCAAAAGACTTTCGGCTGACAGGTTGCTGGTTCCTAATGGGTGGGACGCGGAATGCCATGCCGACGGGGGCCAGCATTCCGGCCATGGGGGGGCGCGACAGCAATTGTTGCCCACGGATACATGAAACGAAGGATCCCTTCATTCTTGAAAAAAATGTTACCGTGGGAGGTCGATAGTGGGAAAAGAAGAAAGCGTTGGATCAGAGAAAGTTTAGGCTGTTGCCATGAGCCACGACAGCCCTCGACGAACAGACAAGTTCACTTTAGGGGGGTGAAGGTTGGAATGCATCGTCACCCCAGGGGATGGGCGATTATCAGTGGGCTGTGTGCATACCTTGGGGGAAGTCTCGTTGCTAGTGCTGGAGGGGATGATAGTGGCGCTGAAGGGGGGTATAAAGATGGTGGTTTTTCGAGGTTGAGATATCTGTTTTCTGCTTCTTCAATCATTAACCTTCTATACTTTGTCCCTTCGAGGAGGTACTTGATCCTATATCTCTCTGTGTGGATATATATACCAGACAGGAGTGAAATTCTTTACCAAATATTGAGCAGCAGTCAAAAACACCAAAATGAAATCTGCCCTCCTCGCCTACGGCCTCCTGGCCTCCGCCAGCACGGTCACAGCCCACATCCAAATGTCCAACCCTTACCCGATCCGCAGCCCTCTCGACCCCAACGGCGACGAGTCCAAAAAAGACTACTCATACACGAACCCCCTCGACTCTGACGGCAGCGACTACCCCTGCAAAGGCTACGCCAACGACCCCTTCCGCTCCGTAGCGAGCTACAGCCCTGGAGGCACCTACGAGCTGGACCTGCAAGGCAGCGCGACCCACGACGGCGGCTCATGCCAGATCTCGCTGTCGTACGACACAGGGAAATCCTTCCAGGTGATCCACTCCATGTTGGGCGGGTGTCCGCTCACGGAATCGTACAAGTTCACGATTCCTTCGGATGCACCGACGGGCGATGCGCTGCTCACTTGGACGTGGTTCAATAAGGTCGGCAACAGGGAGATGTATATGAACTGCGCACAGGTTACTATTGGAGATGGCAGTAAGAAGAGGGATCTGGAGGAGATGCGGAAGCGAGATGCGTTTAGTTCGCTGCCGCCCATCTTCATTGCTAATGTTAATGGGCCTGGGCAGTGTACCACTATCGAGAACTATGATGTGAACTTCCCCTTGCCGGGACCGTCGGTTGAGGGCAGTATCAATGGTACTGATGCTGGGTTTACTTGCACCGGGGATGCGCCTTTCTTGCATGCCAGTGGTAGCTCGTCGGGCTCGAGCTCGAGCTCGAGCTCTGGCTCTGGCGCCAGCTCTGTCAAGGCTGCCCCTGTGTCTACCTCCAAGCCGACTGTGTCTCGGCCCACTGTGTCAACCTCCAAGGTTGCTGCTCATGTTGCCAGCACACCCGCAGCGTCATCATCCGCTAAGGTGGTTGCTTCGTCGTTTGGAACTGAGGCAGCGCGTGTCGCGACCGTTGCCACGGCTGCTGCGCACTCTAATAATGATGCTACTGTTGCAGGTGCTGCTGCTGATGATGAGAGTGCCCGGTACGTGCCTGGCAAGCCCTGCGTCGATGGAGCCATTATCTGCGGTCCTGGTGGTACTAGCTGGTCGATGTGCAGCAATGGACGTCCTGTCCATATGGGATCTGTTGCGGCCGGGATGTACTGCTCTCATGGAGCGATGCAACGGTTGCGTTAAGGGGTTGGATGTATATGGGTGTTTTGGCAGAGTTATTGCATCGTTTGTATGATGAAGGGTTTGGTTTCTTCCTTCATTATCTTTCTTGGATGATGTGTGTTGATGACCGGACGGATGTGTTTACTTTCAGCGGCTCATTTGTTCTCTATGTATCTTAGTTGTCTCATTTTTGAGTAGCCTATGTAGTGTTACGTTTGAATCAATTTAAATGACCTTGGATGATATACCAGACCCTCGGCGAATGCACGATAGATATAGGCTGTCGAAGTAAAGCTAGATGCAGTGATTGAAGTATGTTGTGCGATGCATCGGTTGAATGAATAGGCGTCAACTGCCCGACTGAACTAGAAACATACTTGTCCTGTAAGGTGCTAGTCGGCATGGGGCCTAGCTGGTTGCGGGATGGTCGCCATCGGTGATCAATGCCCTTGTTCAGAGGCGAGAGAAAAGTATCGGTGCCCTTGTACGTCTAAGTAATAGCGAAATAATCGATTTGCAACCGAAGCTAGGTCGTGGTATTCGTAGTCATGATGAAGAGTCTACACGATCAATGTATAGCCTTGAATTTATCGTCAATTCTAAGTTCTATCCCGCCGTCTATGTACCAATGTAGCAGGTATCAAAATAAGAAATAACATAGATATAAATGTCCCGGGATCCAGTAGCATAGATCATGTCACGTCACAGGTAGAATATATGCACAGACCGAGAAACAGTAATTAACTTTTAGTTGTAGATCGTTTTGGGAACACTCGCGGACCAATTTAAGCCTGAGCAACCACGGCTTCCAGAGCCTGCTCCAGAATCTTGAGGCCGGACTTGATCTGCTCCTCGGTGATGGTCAAGGGAGGAACAAAGCGGATGCAGCCCTCACCTGCCGTGATAATCAGCATGCCGCGCTCCCGGGCAGCACCAACCAAATCACCGGCCTTGGAGACGAACTCCGGGGAGAGCTGGAGACCACGGATCAATCCCCGTCCGCGAATTTCCGAGATGACGTTGGGGAACTTCTTCTGGAGATCCTTGAATCCAGACACCAGCAGGTCTCCCTTGATCTCAACAGACTTCTGCAGCTCGGGGTCCGCCAAACGGTTGACAATGTGATGGGCGACACGGCACACCAGGGGGTTTCCACCATAGGTGGTACCGTGGTCACCGGGCTTGATGTGTTTGGCCACGGTCTTCTCGGAGACAATAGTCGCACCGATAGGGATACCGTTACCCAGGGCCTTGGCAGAAGTCAGGATGTCGGGGTGAGCGGCCTCGCCAGAAGCAGGCGCCAGAGACGGGTGGGCGTGAGCCCAGAAGGAGCCGGTGCGGGAGAGACCGCACTGGATCTCGTCGAAAATCAAAACGGCGCCAACCTCGTCACAGCGCTTGCGCAGAGCAACCAGGAATTCAGGGGTAGCCACATTGATACCTCCCTCACCCTGGATGGGTTCGACGATCACACCACAAGTCTTCTCAGTGACGAGACTCTCGAGCTGAGCCACATCGTTGTAGTTGCCGTACTTGAAGCCAGGCAGCATGGGGGAGAAGGGAGTCTGGTACTTGGGGTTCGGGGTCGCAGAAAGAGCACCCATGGTGCGGCCGTGGAAGGAGTTGTGGAAGGAGACGACTTCGTGCTTTGCGCCGGAGGGGTCGAGCGAACGACCGACCTTGCGGGCAAACTTGATGGCGGCCTCGTTGGCTTCGGTTCCAGAGTTGCAGATAAAGACCTGAGAGGCATCGCGCATGGCACCGGACTTCTGAGTAACGTCGATCAAGAGCTTGCTCAGAGCTCCAGTCCACGCATTGTAGTAGAGGTTCGAGGCGTGGACAAGCACCTCGGCTTGTTCAGCGATGATCTGGGCCACCTCGGGGTCACAGTGTCCCAGAGAGTTGACCGCGATACCAGCTGTCAAGTCGAGGTATTTCCGGTTCTCCATATCCCACAGATAACATCCCTGGCCCTTGACCATGACCGGCGCCGGCCGCACGTAGGTCGGCAACATGTAGGGAGATTGATCATTGACGAAAGCGACCGATACGGAGTCAGCAGCAGGATCGGGGTTCGGGACAGAAGCCTTGTTCTGAGACTTCACATGTTGCGACATGGAGAAGAATCGCTGCTGAGGCAGTGAGTCAATGCTGGGGACGAGCCGACGGGCGACGGGCAACCGCCGGGCGGCGAGACGTGCGAACGCCATCGGATTGCAAGGAATTGGGGGTGGGAAGATGGGAACAGGGATGGAGGAGGAAGAGGTTGAAGGCAGGCGACACCAGCGAAGGGACCTGTATATCAAGAGAAGATCAGGCAGCTGGAATTGACGTTGGGAGCAGAAAGTTGTAAACCCAAGAGTTGACTTTCTGCTGTATCTCATGCGGCATCGGCGCTGCCGGATCAGGTGACTGGCCGCCATGTGACTCACGCTCCGCTTTTAATAGATTGATAAGAGTAGCATAGCGGGTCTATGCTTAACACATTGAAAAGAAATGTCTTACATCTAGACTAGGCTTTGCCTTGAACACCAGACAAAAGTAGACAGTTGTACCCCCGTTACTGTTAGACATGGGAAATTACACCTCAAACTTACCCCCAAGTCGCTCCAATTTCTCCGCATTTCAGGCACTTTTCCCATTATATGAGTATATTAAGCACCCCCACGGAATGTAAGCACCGATTCACGAATCCTGGTCTCTGGCACCTAGGCAAGACTTCGTTCCATCTTCAGCACGAACTTCAACATGAGGCATGGTCCGGTAGGGCTACTTTTGTGAAAGTACCAAGCATTGGGGGGTTTTCTGATGGGTAATTTATTTCTTCCATAGAAAGTATTGGCTGGATTAGACAAACTGTTTGTTCTCAGAATGAAAGCCGGAGGCTCTGGTAACTTTCTGTGATTGTCAGTCATAGCAATGATTTTTAAATCACCCACGGCTTCAGCGTGGGATACACTTCGGACGCAAAGCATAATCCTAGTGACTTGCGCGCAGTATAACACTGCTAATAATTCACTCGGCCGGAAGTTGTCCGCGGTCACGTGCCAACAGCGTTGGCAACGCAGCGCTCCGAAAATGGAATAAGCAAGCCTGCAACTGTGTATCGCAACTGTATCACTGGCTTCCAGAGGTCCATCACTTGCCGACAGAACAGCCGTGATATGTTCGACAGTTGGATGTTAAGTGCTGAGTAATGCATGGACAAGAATTGGAAGAGTCAGGTAACTGGTCAACGAAGGATTGCAGGAGTCATGTGGAAGGCGCCAGGAAGGCAGGCGGTGGGGCGGCGCAATATGACGCGGCATCACATGTCAGAGCGATCGAATTAGGTTGAGGCGGAAAAGAGGTTAGAAGGTGAGAGAGAGCAGCTGTTGGTACGATGGAGTAATTAGGCGCCGGGCAGGATTGGATTCAGTAGTTTCCACGACTGGATGGTGAGACGAGTCATGATTCATGGGCTGCGAACGTGAAAACCCACGGCCGACATCCGAGTCGCGGCGCATGTGACACCTGCCAGCAGAAATCAGAGTCCTCTTAGCAAGTTCCGGACATCGTAAGTTTGACTTGGATGGAAGGAGAGGGAAAGCACATGTGCATGCGAGACAGTATGACAATGTTGTAAAAACCTGGTAGTCAGTAAGGATGGATACTGTAGGTAGATGGGGAGAGTTGAAGCCATTCCTTTGGTTAGTAAACTGCCAGTCAGCGCGGGGGAAGAATTTCCCAGCGCGGGAGTGTGATTGCACGTGAAAGTGCCCCAACCTCAGCAGAAAGCAAGCAATCAATTATCATCGCAACCAGACACTTCCGACAAGGGATCTTCGTCCCTCCTCCCACGCCCATTGCGAACCGATCTTACTCCTCAATTCTTGCCCTCCCCTTACTCCCACTAGAGCCAATTTCAGGCTCCATCCATTGCCCTCTTTCCTTTTTCGGGCCCTCCGGGCAGCCATGGACTACCGCTCCAACGGCAGGTCGGTCCCGAAAACCTCCCTCTGTGAGCGCCCAGACGCCGTCTCAGCGCCCACTGGCCCTCATACTTCAGCGCTATCTACTGCCTCACCCTCAACCGACTCCTCATCTGACTCGGCCCCTCCCACTGCCTATCCCCCTTTTCATCATGTTCCTCCCCCCATGATGGACGTCGATCATTCTACCGTAGCGGAAGACCGTTCACGTCGAGCCACCAGTGTACTATCCATGGATGATATCGAAGCCGCCCAAGCCCTGGAGGGCCTTCGCACTGGTATGTCTTTTCTTCCTCCCTTGGCCCTTGGCCTGTCCAGGACGAGTTTAACAGTCGATGGTATCAGACTACGGTCAATCGCCGCGAACGTCGCAGATGAACCGCCCCGAATCCAAGCAGCAACCAGAGCCGCTCCTGTCCCTTCTCACCTCCACCCATCCTCTTATCTCATCCGCTATAAACGGCTCGGTGTCTGCCTATGCAAATTCCAAATCCTATTCCCCTCGTTTCAAATCCAGCGCCGAATTCCTCGAGCGCAACATTGGCTCTCCCGTCGCCAACACGGTTGGCACCGTGGGCCGGAAGACTGGCGTGGAAAGTGGCCTTCGGTGGGCGTTACAGCGTCGGGTATCCTCGTCAGCCCAGTCTAGTCGTTCTAAACGCCGTAAGGTTAGCAGCGAGCAACAGTCTACGGAGGTCGACGTAGAGAAGGGCCCAGATCTGGCGATGAGGCTGTCGCCGGGAGAGGGTCCCCCACCCTACGATGATCAGAGGTCTCCCAATTATGACGAGATCGGTCGAGACAGTCCGTCGCGGCAGACTCCGTCCACATGGCAGAGTCGACTGATGATCTCGACATCCGGCCTGGGCGTGGCGATGAGTGAGGAATCGCTCCGAAGCCTGCAGTATTGTCTGACTTGGCTGCGCTGGGCGAATGGACGGCTGGACAAAGCGATTGAGGCCCTCAAGGCCGCCCTGAAAGAATGGGATAGCTCAAGGCAGCAGAATGGGGATTCTACTGCAGAGCAGGACGCTTCCAGCACCACCGTCCTCTCGAATCGCATCCAGGCCGTCAAGGCGGATGTGCTGGCGACGCTGAAACGCGTGGTGGACATTGTCTCGAAATATGCCGGGGGAGCGCTCCCGGAGAATGCACGGAACTTGGTGCGTCGGCATCTTACCTCACTGCCGCATCGGTTCCAGATCGCGTCGAACTCCAACCCGCCGCCAGATTCCATGGCGGCGGCATCGGACGCCACCGTCAGCGCCCATCGCATCCTCGTCTTGGCCCAGGAGGGCTTGGATATGATGTCGCAGGTCAGCGGCGTAGTTAACGACACTCTGGTCAGCGCTGAGCATTGGTGTGAAAAATTGGGTCGGAAGCGCTCAGAGGGCAAGGCGCCGATCGAGGCTCCGCCCCGAGAGCACGATGAGCCGTACCCGGCGGATATCAAAGTTCCAGTTCAGGAGCCATCCCCTCGAGATGTCTCCATGACAGGAATGGAGAAGGTTTAGTGATGCTATCAGCGCTCGGCACCGTACGATGCAGGCCACTGCTCCCGTGCTTCTGCACCAGTCTGATGAATGATCATAGTTCTTCACTTATTACACGAGGTCTGATTACCTCCCTTCTTTACCTCTTTGTTTCTTTGTGTTATTCTTATTGGTCACTGTATCGCATTTAGTTCTGCTGTTTGCAGCTTCCTTGACCACTCCTTGATATCACTGTTTTTCTTTTCTCCTGCGGCGGATGAATGGCGTTTCTCTTGTTTGACTGGCTGGGCGGTTGGGTTGGAACTGGATACCTGGATTGTTTGTTAAATCCAACCTGGTGCATCTCTCTTTCCTGTGATACCACCCTTTTCTATGAACCTACACAGTACAATGATGGCTCCAGTGATGAAAAGTTCATGACTTGAATCTGCTTTATTCCTCTCATGCACCGACTTGAATTGGAGCTCTCCCGATGCCCTTGGTTGGATGTAATGATCCGGGAATCGGCCGACTCCCAGTGTGAGCGTTTGTGCTAATGAATATTTGATTCTGAGTATGCGTAAATATCTACCTTGTCGAAAAGTCAATATCGTAGTTTTCCTCTGGTAGCTATCGATGTAGTTTTGTACAAAGTACCAGGTTGCATCGGCATCGGAAAGAATGCCGAGCGGGAGGATCCACCAACCAGCTTTTTATCTCCGATAAACACCATCATTTCACATCCCTCGACTACTTCCTACTTCTTTTACACTACCCACCACCACCAATCCACTACACCACACTATCACAATGCGCTAATCCTTCAACACCATCCGCAGTATTCGCCATGTCACTGCCCACTTCCACCTCCCCCAATGGCCCCGCGCCCCAAGACCCAGGCGCATCAGGCGCCGCCAATATGGAGGAGAAACCATCACCACCACTCGAATCCGCACCACAACAACCAGACCGCGCCGCAGAACCCACCCTCCACCCCGCCTCCCACAAACTCACCCAATTCTACACCATCTCCTATCTAATCTTCTTCGCCATCTTCGGCACTCTCGCCCGGCTGGGCCTCCAAGCCCTAACCTTCTACCCCGGCGCCCCCGTAGTCACCGGCGTCCTATGGGCCAACGTCGGCGGCTCCCTCCTAATGGGCTTTTTCCAAGAAGACCGGAACCTGTTTCGCGAAGAATGGGGCACCCCCAACAATAACAATATTGACCCCTCTGAGCGCGCAAAACAACATAAAACCATCAAGAAGACCATCCCACTGTACATCGGCCTCACGACGGGTTTCTGCGGCTGCTTTACGTCTTTCTCGTCGTTCATTCGGGATGTTTTCCTGGCGCTTACGAATGATTTGTCGACTCCGTCACAGGAGAATATTGTTTCGAGGAATGGGGGGTATAGCTTCATGGCCCTGGTCGCTATTATTCTTATGACGGTTTCGCTGAGTTTATGTGCTTTGTTGTTTGGAACGCATCTGGCTGCTGCGTTGGATAGTATCACTCCTACTGTTCCATTTCGGTTCACGAGACGGGTTCTGGATCCGCTCATGGCGGTGCTGGGGTGGGGGTGTTGGCTTGGGGCGGTGTTTCTTGCGATCTGGCCGCCGGATCGGAATGATGGTGGGATGGAGGTGTGGCGTGGTCGTGCGGTGTTTGCGATTGTGTTTGCGCCGTTGGGGTGTTTCCTTCGGTTCTATGTCAGCTTGTTGCTGAATGCGAGGGTGCCGAGTTTCCCGCTGGGGACTTTTGCGGTGAATATCTTCGGGACGGTCGTGTTGGCTATGTGTTACGATTTGCAGCATGTGGGGAGCATTGGAGGGGGTGTGTTGACGGGGTGTCAGGTCTTGCAGGGGGTTATGGATGGGTTTTGCGGGTCGGCAACAACGATTAGTACTTGGGTGGCGGAGTTGAGTGCGCTTGGGGCTGCTGGGGGGAGGAAGAGATGGGCAGCGTATGTTTATGGGACTGTGAGTGTGGGTGTTGCGTTGGGGTTTGTGGTGGTTATTGTTGGTTCGTTGGGGTGGACGAGGGGGTTTGATGGGCCGGTTTGTGGGTGATGAGAATGTGTGGGTGTAGATTGTAGTGTATATAGTATAAATATAATGTAGTATAGTATAGATGATATATATGTGTAATGTATAGTATGTCTTTGGTTTCATTACTCATTGAGTCATCTCGGTGTAGCGCTACTTCACGCCTTATCCTGCGAACACTTGCTGGCTGGTTGTCTCCCAGAGACGCATGGAAACATCCAGACCAGATAATAGGTCAACTGTTGGAGGTCTTTGTAGACGTGAGACTTGTCCACACCTTCCGGAATATGGTACAGGCACATCCCCTTCAGGGCCTGCGAAGTGCCCTATTCAGTTCCGGCACATGTACTCCAGCTGCGCTTGACTCTGCAGTGGCCTTACCACTGCG